TATTTTACTAATGGACAACAAGTTACAAGATAGCTTTGGGACATGAAGAACATTATGAAGTGTAAGGGCTGGTGAGAGCTTGATAGATCCTGTTCCAGCTATGGCTGAAGGAGAACCATTTGCAATTGCGATTTTTTTATTTCCTGCACACGGATTATAGGTGGAAAAGAGTTTTGAACAACCTGTCATATGATCGGTTGCTCTTAAATCGAGAATCCAAGGAGCATTTTGGCGTGGATTTTCTATGAGGAAAGCAGTGGAAAAATAATTACCTTTCTGGGCTAAAGAACAAGATGGATTTGAAGAAGGTTGTGGAGATTGAAGGATTTTGTATAGGTGCTCTAATTGTTCCTTTGTGAATGGAACCGAATCTGACTTGATTTGCTCTTCTTCATTTGTTGCTTGGAACGCACGACCATCGTTACTGCTCCTTCTCTTCCAATCTTCTTTCTTCCAATTTTGTGGTTTCCCGTGAATTTTCCAACAAGTCTCTTTGATATGCCATGGTTTCTTGCAATGTTCACACCATGGTTTCTTCCTCCTGTCTTTCTCAGAATCAGGCCCTCGAGATACAAGTGCAGAATTTTCAGATATAGAGCCGACACTTGTTTCCGAATCATGTAGCATGATTGGCCTCCGAGATTCCTCCCTTCTAACTTAAGAGAAAACCTCGCGGATGGATGGTAGAGGTTTTCGACCAAGGATCCTGCCTCTCACCTCATCCAAGCTTCGATTAAGGCCTGCTAGAAACATGTATACTATCATTCTCTTCTCTCTTCATTTGTCTCTTACAATCGACTGGACTTTCCCATGTATTATCGTAGCTTTGATCTAATTCCTGCCACAAGGTCACCATTTCATTGTAGTAAATAGTGACCTTGTGATCCCTTTGCTTCAATTGCCATAGCTTTGTCTTGAGTTCAAAGATCTGGGAAGAATTTTTCAAATCAGAATATGTTTCTCTCACGACGTCCCACACATCTTTAGCGGTCGGAAGGAATAGGTGAGGTTTTCCAATTGCTAGCTCCATAGAATTGATTAGCCAAGCAATCACTAAGGAGTTCTCGGATCTCCAAATCTTCCAAGACGGATTGCTTTTTTCTAGTTCCTTCATCTCGCCAGTTAAGTGGCCTAGCTTCCCTTTGCCATCAATTGCTAGTTTCACCGATTGAGTCCACTCCAAATAATTTTGGCCATTCAATCAGTGAACTGTTAATAGCAGGTTGGAGTTCTAGGGGAATTGCTCTCCACCATTGCTCGATTGTGCAAAGAGATCAGTTGGGTTTTTCTCTAGCATGACACCTAAAGGAGTGGTGTTCTTACTAGCTCCGGTCATCGCCGTTTTCACCATAGTAGAAGCCGGATTCAAAACCGAGCTCTGATACCATGCGGTTTTTTAAAGAAGAAAAATGGTTTCTTCCATTTCTTATTTCTTATCATACTTACATAACATTTAAATAGGGCCTATAGTAATTAGAAAATAGCAAGAAATAAAAATAGATTCCCTACTTCTTAATTCTAGCTATTTACTTCCTAATCCTGAGGATTCAGAAATAAAAAAAAATAAAATAAATGGAAACAAAATATTCATATCTTGAGATTTTCTCCGAGATCTCTAACTTTGACAGATTTTCCTCGAGATCTTCGAGATTTTTTTCTAATTCTTCAACAGTTTCTTCTAGTTGTATCTCCCTTTACATAACAAAGATTTTCTTCTGCATACTATAGTGGAGTCGTACAGCCAGGAGTACGATAAATGGACTGATCGACCTTCAATGAATCGGCAAAGAGGAAGCCTAGTAGGGGTATCTTTAAAGGATAAGATATTTGCAATTGGTGGTGCAGCTGAATGCGTGCCCTTTTCGGATGTTGAGATGTATGATCCAGACACGGGAAGATGGATCCCTACTGGTTCAATGCTATGCAAGGTACCCTTTGTTATAGTAGGAGTGAGGTTTTAATGATCTTGGGACATGATTTGGAAACAAGGAAAATCACATGGTGTTAGAATTTCATTTTAGAAAGAATAAATCGCAAATCCCGAGCATAATTAGAAGCTTAGTTGTATGACATTCTAACACTGACTGAAGACAAGCTATCTGAGCTAGTGCTTTAAAGATGCCGCAGACTTTACTTATCTTATTGTCACGGTTCTAATCATCAATTTTTTGCATATGCATGAATAATAGCATGACGTAGTGATTCTTTTTTTCTGGGGAAAAGTGAGATTGGTATTTTTTCTGTTGTTGCGATTATTACAAATGAGTGGACAGCCGAAAAGGTTTGATAAAAAATTGGTGAAGATAGCAAAATTCCAGCTGTCTGATGGGTTTTATTAAAGCTCAAAACACTCTGTTCAATGAACATAGCGTCATCTATATCTTGTATCTTCGGTACCTATTGCATTTGAACTTGCTCACTCCTTATCTTTTACTTTCCTTCTCTTGGTTGCTTCTGTCAGCGGCTTGCTCCAGCTGCTGCAGAACTGAATGGCATACTCTATGCTGTCGGAGGATATAATGGAGAAGACTACTTGGAGTAAGATTTTGTCTACCGTTATATACGATCCCTCGATAGTTCTAAAGTCATGGTTTGCCTCTGATGATAAATCAAACACCGAGCTGTACTTCCACCTGTTTCTGACATTTGCGAAAGTTGCAACCCTTGCATGGTTGGTGCTTTGAGGCTGCTGCTTGCACTTCTTGTGACTAGAAAAACGTCAAAATTGTGGCTAGGAATATGTTCTGCTTGATATTTTAGGTTCAATAGGCCCTTTCGACGTGATCAGCAAAACTCAGCATGCTTCTCTTCATTGATTTTTACATACACCGGGAATTAAAACACCCTATATACGCCATGTAAGAGGACAACTCATACTAAGGGTATTCCCCCGTTGTTTGCTCCTAATGTCTTTTTGGGAATCACATAGGGTAGGGGATGGGGAACACTGAGACTCTTCCAACCAGATTTATTCCATGGAAATAGTGGCTCTTACCTGATTGGTCTACCCTTGGTTTTGAAAAACCATAAGCTAGTGGTTCTAGCATCTTCTATTTGTCTTGTCTCCCACTGTGATGGCATTCTGGTTTTGCTTGGTGTGTAGGACATTTCGTGGTAAACTAGATCATTCATGTCACCTCTTTTTCATAGCTTTTGTAAATATTACTCTGTTGTACTGCTGCTGGCTAATAGCCTAGTGTACTCGATTGAGATTGTAAATTAAGAAGGTTCTTAATATATATTTGTCAGCACTATCATTGATTGCTTGACATAACATTCTGGGTCTCTTGCTTGTCCCTTGTGTATTCTTTGGTTTATAGTCAGACGTGGATGCTTGTTTTTTTTGGTCGGGACATGGATGCTTGTTTGAATGCTCTCTTTGCAAACTCAGAATTAAACAAAGCTTATATCGGCATCTTGCCTGGTGTCCTCATTGGACATTTTCTCTACTATGTTAGGTCGGCAGAAAGATTTGATCCTCGAGAATGCTCATGGAGACCGATAAAGGACATGAGCACGAAAAGAGGCGGTCATTCTTTGGTCGTTTTGAACGAAAAGTTGTGAGTAGATCTTGTCCTGAACCCTTTTTAGCTTTCAACCATGTGAACTGCTATCTTTTGGTTGACATCACGGCTAAAGGGCTGCATTAGTGTGACTCTTGATATCGCCGATCCGTCTTGAGCTCTTCTCCCGAGTTCAAGCTAAAGCTTTTATCCTCACAAATCGCCTCTTGATTTAGTTTGTCAAAAGTGATGGGCTATGGTGGGAGTTCGTGTGGGTGGGCACAAGTTATAACTGTTAACTAATATTAGGAGAGTCTCTGCAGATATGCAGTGGGAGGCTACGATGGATCCAGAATGGTGGCGACAGTCGAGGTTTTCGATCCTCGTGCTGATTCGTGGATGATGGTGGAATCAATGAATGAAGCAAAGACAAATCATGGAGCAGTCGTGATCGAAGATGTAATATACAGCCTTGGTGGACTAGATGAAGACATGGAAGTACTTGACACGGTATGAAGATTGTTTTTTCTCATTCGAATTCTCTCGTTTCTTTAATGTCTACATGTGTTCATGGTTAAATATTCCTAGTTGCTGCTCCCCTGTTTGATAGATTTTAGTTTACCAAGAGAAAGCTTTCTTGACGTTCGAGATATCCACCTGTTTGATAGATTTGTTGTTGAATATTTGCGGGTCACTGCTCACGTGCGACATTCCTGCACTCACCATTAAAATGTGGATTACGTGTAGTCTATGCGTGAAACGAATGCGCCGTTAGCTTAAATGCATATGCATCTCTAATGTTTCAGTAATGGCGTGTGGGAAATGATAGGTGGAATGTTACAAAGAGGGTCTCGGATGGCGGGAGATTGACCTGAAGGCTTTTGGAAAGAGGTGCTGCTTCTCGGCAATCGTGGTATGACAGAAGATTGAGGTCCTACACGTTCGGTTCAGTGCTGTTCAGTGCTGCTTTGTAAGTTCAAATGGGGAAGCGTGCGATCCGATCCAATCTCGTTAGGGGTTGCTTCACTTATCGTGCGCATTCAAAAGCTCTTTTATTTATTTTTTTGGTTTCTGCCTGCCTTCAAGCGAACAAGCTTCTTTAATAAATAAATAAAGGAAGACGAAGGATTTTGAGCGATGTAATTCTCTGTCCCGTTCTCCGGATGGCAGCATTTTGAGTCTACAACAACGACCTTCCACACGTCATGGTTGTAGCATTAACGCTGCAAACCCCAATGCAAAATTGCCAAATGTACCCTATGGTTTGCATTGAAGTTTATTTATTATTGCAACAATGACTTGCAGGCAGTGAGAAGTTTCTTTAACAAAGATGCAACGAAACCAGATATAGGGAGGCAGACTCCATATTTCAAAAAATCTCCAAACCTCAAATGCTCTCAACACTCTTGAAAGGAAATGGAAACTAGACAGACATCACTTGGTTCTGCCGCACGGCACCAAACCACATGGGCGGGAAAGAGAATTTCCAGACACAAATAAGTAAAGCATTAGCTATCTTGAATTTCTCTTCAAATTCAGTAGGTAGTGGTCAAATCCCTAGTTCCCGAGTTTCTTCGAAAACCAAACACAAAATCAGTAGTTCCCATATCTATTTTTCTACGTGGCAAATTAGAATTGCTTTAAACCGATTGCATATCTTCCAATTTTAAGGGGGGTAAAAAACCGACAGACCTCATCAACCAAACCATTCCTGTTGTGGCGGTGCATCACTGGACGCCAACGCCAGGAAATGACGGCAATACAGCAAGAAGAGGATCTCCATAACCAACAGCTTCTGTAAAACCATGCAATAAATGGTGAATGTTGGAAGAGCTATTAACAAAAAAAATCCTGCCAGGATCGCGGTCAGAACATGGACAGAGAGAAATTATTATAAAGCTGACTCTGCATGGGAAAGTTAGGAAGCCGTTGAAGAACAAACAGACCAGGAAACAATGGTCAAATTCGTACCTCCATCATCAATCAGGAGCTTTAGAACTTCTCCCGAGACATCTGACTGCTCAAATCTCAACAAGAAATTGTCAAAAACAGAATGAGGCAGGGAAATGACCAAATTAGAGTACTTACAGAAAGTGCTTACTTTCACAGGAAGTTCAGTGCCAAACTGATCCAACCACCCTATCACTTGGCCTTCCTTGATCAAATCGCCCTGTTTACAAGAACTGACTTTTCATATTTTGCTCCTACTTACCTACCCAATTCAGCTAATCAGTAGACACGTATATGCATGCATCCATACGTACTTCACATGTGTATGACGAGTGCTAGTGTGCCAGTACGTAGATCTACGTATCATACCATACTGTGTAGACATGATCACAAGGATATAACTTCCATAGAATCAAAAGCTTATGTGTGCTATTTACTGATTGGTGTTGTGTAGACATCTTCACAATGAGAAAATTGCTAAAGAATCAACAATCTATGTGTGAATGCAATATGCTAGCCAAGACGAAAAGAAGTCAAAAGACAGAAGCATAGACACTTAAAAACTTGATTGATTTACTAATACGCCGTTTTCTTAGATAGGCCTGTAAAAGATCAGTAATAGGTGAATGTGTTACATGTGCTAAAATGAATGCAGATCATCCGATCTAGTGGAACCGACCAAAGACCCAGTATTTTCAATGGTCCAGATTCATTTTAATACATATATCACATTCACTTGATAATTTCTCATAAAAGACAGTTTTATCGTTGCATCCACGCAAGAATTTCACCACATTGCAGGCCTGCAGAGTTTTCTTTGGTAAGCAGGTGAATGGTTTTATTTTAGGCATTCAAATGACCCCTACAGTTTCCCAAACAGATCCCAGTCTCTTAAAAAGCTGGGCCCATAAAGTTATCTTTGTTACGTAGGTGAACGACCTTTTCTAAGGCATTTAGACAATCCCTACAGTTTCCCAACAGATTCATGCCAGTTTCTTAAAAAACACCAACCTTTTGAAATGTGCCGAGTCATTAGTGTCTAGTGTGTGTGCGCACGCTCGTGCTTGTGTGCGAGAGGGGAGTTTTACAACACACTGAAAAGAGGACCTCTATAGGAAAGACATAGATGTCTACAATTCAAGAAAATAGAAACTTCAGTAAAGCTAATCACTGTGAAATTTTTACAAGAAGGAATGTCCGAAACAAAATCCATAGGCAAGCGAGAGATACCTCTTTACAGCTGGGAGCTTGCTTTTTTCCCTTAACCGTTCTCCCCTTTTGGAAGGAGCCAACCTGAAAAATTAACATGAGATGCACAGACCACAGAAATAGAGAGCAGAAAATGCCAACAACTCACCGTTGGAGAGGATACTAGAACATATCCACTAGATCCTGAAGCTTCCAATGCTTCGATTTTTGATGATTTTCCAAAGGTAACATTCATAAATGGAGCAGCCCTCTCTGAAGAGGGTTTTGGTGCTGATGGTGGTGAAACACCAGAGCTCGATTTTTTAACAGGCTCAGCTGGAATAGGTGGTGTTGTTACAGGTGATGCTATGACTGGTGCAGGGACTTCTGTCGCACGAACATTACGCTTCACATGCATCTCAAAGTTCCCAACCTATGAATTTTGATAGAAAAGCGAACTCAGGACATACTAATTGTAAAACTTATTAAATCAGCTAACAAATCTGCTGTAAGTCTACATGGACCCTGAATATATCATCTCATAAGTGCAACCCATAGAAATCATTAAGCACAGTGCAAGAAGTAAGCATGTATACTTAAAAGACTTGAGCATCATATAACTTACTTCTGCAAAGTAAGAGCACATAAATAATTACCTTTAGCTTTAGTTCAGCAATCTGGGTCTCGTCACAAACTTCCAGTAACAACGCCTGATTAAATAAGAGTTATTTATCAAGCTCTTGATGAGAGGGCTAGAGGAAAAAGGAAAGAACAAATACTCAAATGATATGTTTTAAAATGATTACAGCTCTATACAGTCTTCAAATAGTCCAAAAGTCGACTATCTCTACAGTTGAGCTTTAAATAGGTGGATAAGATTCTTGTAGAAAGATAAACCCAGTCAAAAAGTATGTCAATCACAAAGCTTTCACAATTGCATAAGGTTGGGAAGAATTCTGTTAAATATAAAGAATAAAAGAGATCTTGGACTAATAGTTAGGGTTTCTGGTGTTCCCCTTTTTCTGTTATATGTACGTACATAATTACAGAAGTGCCACTATACAAGTATACCGAGTATGATGTAATACGCAGTACTAAGATGTCTCTCAACAAGGTCATCTCTAGAATTCTTTAACTCAAGGGCAGCAGATCATCTAAGGGATTGAATTCACGATAAAAAGCCAGTGCCTCCAAAGAGGCCCATGTGCTCGAGAAGTACTAACTTAGAAATGCATAATTTTGGATCCTGACAGGTACATCATGGAAGTACAAAGTAAAAAACTCCTAACTTCAAGCATGGTATTGGGGAGGAAATAACAAATTTCAACCAGTTTGAAAACCTTCAAAACCTTCCCCCTGGTAGTTAGAGACCTATCTGAGACCCCTGCTCGAAGCCATAGTCCAAAGATCAACAAGGCCACTAGCAAGTGCTGAGCATTAAGATAATCCTTTACCATAATTTTTCCCTGTGGTAACTTTGGTTGCCAAAACAGAACGATGTCTTTTGTTGTTTTTTCCCTCTAACAAGAATAATAGTTAAAGCAGCAAAGATCCAGAAACTTCAGCCAGTGCTTGCCCTTCATGCCAATTTAGTGAGAGAGTTATCATGTTGATTAATATCAGGAGTATCTGAAGTTGTCAACGCACATAGGTGTATGCGTTCAGGAGACCCATCGCCAGTGATTCGAGTGTTACTCCCACATTGCATGCATAATACAAGATTGAACAAGAAAATTGGCATACCTGAAATCCACTTGGAAAAGTGGCACCTTCAAGAGGCCTCTTCTCCACTGATATTGGAACACTTCCGATGCACTCTGAGGAAACTGTAAGATTTCACGCTCAAGTTCGGATATGGACAGCCTTGCGAAACGAAAAGATACAACGACACTTGAAAGCCTCATGCAGAAATGTACATTATCCTTACATGAACAGATCAGAAAAATTAACAGCAGCTGGATGTCCCCAGCAGAAAAAAGATGATTGAATCAGAGGTGACATGAGCTGATCAAGCCATTAAAAAGAAAACTTAGAATTGAATAAAGGCTTTATGATTTAGTTCTAATATATAGCAAATTTAATTCAATGATGCAGTCCGTAGCCTTAGAAACAGCAGTCCAGGTTAGAGGTTCCAGTTTAATACCGATCAATCTCCCTATCCTAAAGCGGAGTAGTCTTAGAAACCAATATCAGTGCCTGAAACTGGAGCAGAACAAAATTGTCAAGCACCGCTCCTAATTGTGAACTATTTCAATAATAGACACCCCGATGCTAAGCACGCCAACTTCTCAATCCAATATGAGGAAAACATTTTGCAGGAAAAGGGAACGACCTTAACTTTGAGGTAGAGGTATCATCAATTATAAAACTTGGCCAAATTGATAGAAATATCGTCAGAGTCGGAACAGAAAACATTCTTAAGAAGGAAAAGGTAAGTCAAATAAAAAACCAATCTCACCGTTGGTCTTGGTTGATACGGCAGAGTCTGATGACTCTATACATGAAATTTCTGCCACTCTCGTCCTTTCGGAAGGAGAGAGAAGGTTCCCACCATATGGTAACCCTTGAACTCTTATGTTGCTTGAAGTGGCCTTCTTGTAGTGATGCAGACTGACCAGTCCAGTCTTCCCTGGCAAAGACCTCACATGTGATAAGACACCAAAAGAATCTGACCAAAGAAACGAAACTATTATCTTAGGCGTGGGGATCCTTTTTTGCAACAAGAGGAGTATCATAACACGACACCGGACAATATGCAACAAACAGCAGACAATTCAAAATGATGTTAAGCAGATATCAAGCCACCAAAACGCGCAATGCAGAAAAAAGCACACTAGATCATACTTCAAAGTTGCACTGCCTTTTGAGCTAGAAATGTTATCCTGCTTCTTCGTAATAAGACTAATGTCAGTATTCAGTCTTTTAAGCTTCTCGGAAAAAACATGTAGGACCGCAGTCACAGGATTGATGGCGCCAAGCAAGACAAGGACACGATTATCAAACCTCAAAAGTACACATCATTGAGACCGTGTATGGAACTGCTCATGTTCATCTACAATAGTTCAAGCAGGTCACCGACAACTTCAATCAGGTCTAGAAAGCTGAAAGCGAGATCATCTCACACAAATACTACACGGCATTTAATCGATTCAACGGAAGATCGCACTATCTTCCCCATCGCCGGACCTCGGTTCGAACCTCCTCCAAAACCGAGAGCTCGCAAATGCAGAAACGGACACAGGCTAACCGCGATCGTCGTGAACCGACGAGCTCGAATCGATGAATCGTCAACTGCATCGCGAACACCGCCGTCGCGCATCGCTTCACAGGACACAACGAAACAAAAACACGCCGAGCGCAGCAGACTCACAGTGGAAGGATCGCAGAGCAGCAGCAGAGGACTCCATGGCCGCAAGGTGAAGCTGCAACGGATCGATCGCCGTCGCCAGGAATCGCCGGGGAGAAGGAAGATGGAATCGGGGGAAATGGAACGAGAGTGGAGAATGCGTTTGGAGAGTTCGGTTTTTGAGCGGTTTGGGGATATGATACAAACGATCTCACGCTGCTGTGGCCATCTTCGGAACGACCGCCCTTTTGCATCAATTTCTCCGTTATTCAGTTTTCCCCGAGCGGGGCTTCGCTAACGTGCGCCGTGGAGTAGTTGGCGCGGGCCGATCCCCACGTGGCTTCGGGCCGACGGGCCCGTTTGGTGATGGGCTTGGGCGCACGCTTGGGGCGCAGATAAGTCCAGTGAGACTGTGCTGAGGACGTGTGCTTTTTTTTTTCCCTATTTTTCACACGCCACGTGGAAAATCTGAGACCCGATTCCGATACCATATCAAAGAAAAGCCAATTGAAAATTTAAATTATTAGATCAAGAGAGATTATGGACATATAAAGTTCAATCAACCCCATAGACAAATGATGGTAACCAATTTTCAAGGAAGTGAGGCAATTTTCCGAAACAGGGGAGCTCAGCCCAGAACTAAACATAACGCAAATTACCCTTATTCCTAAGATCCCAAATCGTGAGAGGTTGGAGCAGTATCGTCCAATCAGTTTGTGTCACTTCTCATATAAGATTATATCAACAGTCCTAGCAAATAGATTGAAACCGTGACTTGGAGATCTGATCTTACCGGAACAAAGTGCTTTTGTCAGCGGAAAATTAATCCAGGACAATATTCTAGTTGTCTAGGAGGTTCTACACCAATTCATAATACGAAAAAGGAATAGGAATAGGATGTTTTAGGTTGTACTTAAATAGGATAGGCAAAAGGCATACGATAGAATCAAGTGGGATTTCTTGGAAGCTTGTATGTTAAGGATGGGTTTTCATTTCAAATGGCTGAACCGGTGATGCAATGTGTTACCATTGTTTCTACACCAACTCAGAATCCGAAAAAGGAAAAGGGAGTTCAAGCTGTACTTAAATTGGACATGCATGATAGAATTGAGTGGGATTTCCTCAAAGCTTGTATATTAAGGATGGGTTTTCATTCCAAATGGATGAACTAGGTGATGCAACGTGTTGCCAATGTTTCTCTTAATATGAAGTTCAATAGAGAACCGCTGCCCTACTTTCAACCTTCGCGAGGGCTTAGACAGGGTGATCCACTATCTCCATGCTTGTTCATTATATGACAAATATGCTCTCAGTATTATTGAAATGGGCTTTAGAGCATGACAATATCAAAGGCATTCAGCTGAGGAGGTCTTGCCCTACTCTTACTCATCTTCTTCAAATTAATTGGACCACCGGAGTCTCCATTGATGCCGCTACCAAAGCTCATTGAAGAGTTCCTGAACCGAAAATCAAAATAAAATCCAATTACAATTCTTGGTTTTAGCCTATTCGGTTCACTCGTGGCCATCGCGTGTACTTGCCGATTGCATGCTGCCTCTTCAAAACCCCACGCTTTAGGGTTTGTGGTAGACCATGTGGTAACCCAAAAATAGGAGAGTTGGGTTCTATCTAAGTTCATGACCATATGCACAAGCAAATGACATGGATATACCAAATGGAGTGATATCTGGGTACCATAGGAAGTGAATGTTCGACCAAATAAACGAAGAGAAAAGAAAAGAAGCAAATGAATGTAAAATAGGCCTGATGGCCCATTTGGCTCGACTAACTTGGGTCAGGAAAGGCCATCGGTTCTTATGCCCATCGTGACTGCATCGAACTAGACCGGGCTCAGTGCAAAGCAACGCACGCATTTTCTCAAGATCCGTAGATTCATTTGCAGTACGCCGAATATCAAATCGATCCAATATGATTCACCACCATAGTGTTCAACCACAATTTTGAGACATCTCCAGGACCTAACCATTCCTGGAGCATGGCAGCCCTTTCATCTCACAATCGAAGCTCATCGGTTCACAATTCAATGAGTGGAACCAGGAGAACGCGTGACTAGCGGGACCGATTGGATTCCTTGACTATTGATTTCAATGTCGATATGAGATTTCAAATTTCTTCTTCTATCGTGATTCGGACTTAGTTCTTTACAGGGGAAGAAATTGAACATGCTTAATGCTTATTCACTTGACTAACATTTTGTCATTTTCCACCAAGACGAACCAACTTCAACATTTGCTTAAAAGGTGCAAGACTCCCTCGGTAAAACTTTGTCCAAATTTTCCAGGTGTTAGCCCTTTTACTTCTGATTCGTTCGACCCTTTCCTACAAACGAAGAAGTGCTTTCTCTGGTCTCTTCTACCGTTGAAAAATAGTGTCGGTGAGGCTGCAAAGTCCTGATCAAGTATAGTGAACTCTTTTCTTTTCACTGAAATTTCGGTGTGGGAGTGCGTGCATGGATTCATCTTCAACTATAGGCCCATCTTCAGTAGGATCCAGAAAAAAGCAACTTTTGATTAGACAAGATAATTATGTCCCTCTCCATAATCTTCATTTGCCATTATCGTGAAAGTGATTTCTCACTTTGATCCTTGGACTCGGAGCATCAAAAAGGCTAATCATTCTGCCAAGGAAAGTAAATCTAGATGAGCAACAGTTCACGAAGATAGTACAAACGAGAGTGCAAGAATTCAGAGTATTTGGACACTGTGTGCAATAGACATTGAGACGCGAGTCGAATCCAGGACAGAGCGATTTTAGGCACTTAATCATCCATTTGGCTTATGACCAATATATGCATGTCAAGTGCAAATGACATAACATAGGCACGGTTGTCATTAGATGCTTTGCAAAAAAATGCGCTAACAGACACAAGCTAGAGCCCATTTCACAGCTTGAATTAGACTCGTATATCCGGACAATAATTTTGGCGCAGACGATTGCAAAACCCGGTTGTTGGTGAACCTGATCAATTTAGAAAACATATCGAAGAACAGCGCGAAGACAATCGCGGCAACGACTGGAAGTCTTTGGCTGTTTGTTGCCTTCATCCCTACTTCAAACCCGATATTGAAATAGGAGCGGTTGTTGGCTAAAGAAAGACTTACGGTCTTTGATGGAGATTTTTATGTTCTAATGCTTATGTCTAATCTTTGATCATTTTTGGGCTCTCTTAGAACGAAGGAGTGATCAACACGTTCCATGATGGAGGCACAACTCTGTTCAACTTTGTGAAAACATCACGGTCAAACCATTGATTTTCTGACAATTTCTTAACATGGATGCAATAATGCCACATGCTTTAGCAGCGATGGTCGGAGCTCGGAGAAAAAAAGGTGTCTCTACGCAGTATTATTCAGAATTTATTCAATTCTAGTTGAAATGTTGCTGTCTTTCAGTTATTAACTGGTGCCGAGTCGGTCAGTATTAACAACTTAATTAGAAAATTTGTTAGTTGAGAGTCGGCCCTTTTCAAACTGTACTAGAATTTGGGACAGATTGTTTCATGATTTGCACTGTAGAAATCTTCAAGAGCCATGTATTGAAATTTGTACTTCCAGCTGGAGGAATCGACTCAAAACTAGTACTGGTATGGTACTGCCATTATTCCTCATATAAGCACAATAGCTCACAGACTGGACATAATGCCAATTGTCATTATAATCACAGAGGGAAGTTCTATATCTGAGTCTTTGCAAATAGAGAAGATGTTCTTTCTGTTTGTTTTTGCAACTTCTCTTTAGGGGTTTCCACTCAAAATCAGTGTATTAGCAGAAGGAAGCAGCACAAGAAGACATGTTAATGTTACAGAGTCCTGGTTTGCTATTATTTCTTCCTTTGACCCAACTAAAGGGGCTGGAATTTGACAACTTTGGTGCTCATTGGCCGTGTTTTCTGGGCATGCATGTCAATGGTCATGATAGCCTCCCGAGCATCATCATCATTTTGAGCCATGTTCGTCCAATTAAAAGAAGGGAAGGAGAATCATGATTTGTGCTGGCACTGAGACAGCTGATTAGCTAGTAAGTCCTCTTGAACTATTGCGCTAATTGCCACTCCCTTCGTTTGCTTGAACATTTATCAATTTGGTAATTTGGATTTTCCAAAGCTAACATCCGGATGTGATGAGGAATTCGAGGATGATGTTATGATACTACTCTAAATTGTTCGACCATCTTGTTTAGTCTACCAATCTAGGACCCAACATCCAGACATTCGATGAAATTATTATCGTTCCTTTTCACTCCATTAAGTAAAAAAATTTCTATCAAGTCTTCCTGGTTTAACTTTCTACCTTCCTCCTCTTAACACCTCGGATCTTGAGTTCGCCATTTTTGTGTGCAAGAGCTCTTCTAGTAAGGATCAAATTGATTACACTCCATGTCCATGACATTAGAAGCAAATCTCTCGAGGCTGTGTTTCGAGGAGAGAGTTTTGGACATCTCTTTTCGTGTTTGACAACGATGTTGCAGCTGATAACATCATCTGGTTTCGGACCCAAACGACTCTTAAGCCTTCCATGGAGGATCCATGGACTCATCCTCCTTGGCTTTGTTAAACCCAAAAGACTAGATGCTCTCTCTCCCCATTTACCTCCACCATGAATAAAACGGAGTGTAAAGCGGTCAAATGGAAACAGCATGTTTGCTGCCAAACTGCGAAAAATTCCTAGTCCCAACATCTCCCGATTTTCTACGAAAACGATTTGCCCAAGTCGTTGTTAATCGATGGGGTTATGACAAGAACCCTATCAGGACTTTAGGACATGATTAGGATTGACTGAAGTAACGTGTCGGGGAGTTCCCGCACCCACCCAAAACCTACCGGTGAAAACGATAAGTCATCAACAACGCCATTAGAAGCTTCAGAACCAGACATTACAGAAACCTCAAGCAACGCTGCGCGAATGCTAAGGTGTTGGTGATGTCTTTTAGACTAGCGAAGATGCATGGTTTTGCAAGGAAGCTTGCGCACCTGAGCCGACGACATTTCCCTTTCTGCAGATTGCTTATATCCACTCGTCGTCGTACAATAGGTTTATGACTGATTTGACAATTTTCCCAGAAATTCTGCAAAGGATTTTCTTCTCTCTTTATTTCACTTCTCTCTTTTTTAACTACTTCTATTCTGGTATATATAGTTATTAATGCATAACGATACACCAGGCTCCGCAATCCCGACAATCAGGTTGGGTTGGCTTTGTACTAACCTTTCGCTAGTCCAAGACTCCAAGTTGAACACTGCATTACCGACGTCACCGCTCGCACCACTTGATTGCAATTGGGAGAGGTGGACGACTCTGATATCAATTGATATGTATGTTAGGAAACCATATCCCAAAAGCTAGCTATTGAAGTGGGAGAGTCCAAAACCATATAGGTGCGTTTGGTACAGCATTTGGAATGCTACTTTGGGAATGCAAATGCCTTTGGGTGGAAGCCCTTTAGGAAAAATGCAAATGGCGTTTGGTAAAAACTCATTTGCAAAGCTATTTTGACCCAAGTGGTGTTTGGTTAATTTTTTTTACAAATGGGCTTTGAGGGGGTTTTTTTAAAAAAAAGGCAAAAATACCCTTCGCCGGCTCCGGCGAAGGGCTACGGCTCCGGCGAAGGGCTACGGCCGCCGGCGAGCCAGATCTGGCGCCGGCGGCCGTCGCCCGTCGCCGAGCGACCCCGGCGAGGGACGCCGACTCGGGCGACGAGGCCCGAGGTCGCGCGACCCCAGCCGACGGCCGCCCGGGTCGCGCGACCCAGCCGACGGCCGCCTGGGTCGCGCGACCCCAGCCGACGGCCGCCTGGGTCGCGCGACCCCAAGCCGACGGCCGCCCGGGTCGCGCGACCCCAGCCGACGGCCGCCTCGGGGTCGCGCGACCCCAGCCGACGCGCCGCCCGGGTCGCGCGACCCCAGCCGACGGCCGCCCGGGGTCGCGCGACCCCAGTGCCGACGGCCGCCCGAGGTCGCGCGACCCCAGCCGACGGCCGCTGGGTCGCGCGACCCCAGCCGACGGCCGCCCGGGTCGCGCGACCCAGGCCGACGGCCGCCCGGGTCGCGCGACCCCAGTGCCGACGGCCGCCCTGGGTCGCGACCTCAGCGACGGCCGCCCGAGGTCGCGGGACCCAGGCGGCCGCACTGGCGGTCGCCCGACCCCGAGCGGCCGCGCTTGGCGATCGCTCGACCCGGGCGGCCGTCGCCAGGTCGGGCGACCTCGCCGGACCTTCGCCGTCGCCGGCCCTTTGCCCTCGCCGGAGTCCCTTTGGTGAAGAAGATGAACAGTAACGAGAGGGCAAAGCCGGAATATTGAAATTTGAGTGAGGGTAGTTTGGGAAGTATAAAAATGATTTTGGCATTTGGTTCAAGGCTGAAAGTCCAACGTTAGTCCTGATCAGATTGGGCTTTCAGCATTGAAAATGCTAGTTTTGAGCATTTTCAATGCTCAATGCTAACCGTTTGGTTCAGCATTTTTGAGAAGGGGCTTTCGGGGCTGAAAGCCCCTTCCCAATGTTGAACCAAACGCAGCCATAAACCACACACTGAAATCTCATTCCATTGACGTGGGATCCAAGTCACATACCTTGCGATTAGGATCATAGCACGGCCTCTCTCTTCAATCACTTATTCTCCAAGCGTACGTTACTAACGATTCCAATGAACAAAGACTTGCTCGTGTTTTAAGTAAACCAAAAGCATCTAACTAAGGAGTTAGAAAACTAATTAATCGGAGGATTTGATACATTAGCTCAAAAATGATGCTGAAAAGTCAAAGTGTTTAGCCGAAACTTACGTCAATCTATCATCTGATGCTCAAATGAACATTTTCTATTGTGGTTTTCTTTTTTTGGTTGGCCAGGTGTATTTATGGATTCTTGAGCTCCTCTATAAGGAGCTCGGTGGGCCCCTAGTGGGCCCGCCCGGGGAGACCCTATAAATTCATAAACCCCCCTATCCGGAGGAGGAGAATTCGAACTCCCCACCTTTTCATTCTCATGTGGGAATAGTGGCCATTGGGGCAAACCCCCGGTGGTTTCTTATTTCTAATATTTACTATACGCCTTCGATGAGAAATGGCACTAGAGATCGAATTAGGAATAGGAGGAAAATGCCTAGCTGATACAATAAAAATGCTAACACGAAACAAAACATGACAATAGATTTACATTGCAAACCTCTGATCATCGCATCAATCAAGACATGAAATTGGATAAATATGTTGAATATTCTCTAACAAGATTCATAGCAAATTTTTGTAAATTGTAATTAAATCGAGATTAGTGATAGCTCACACAAATGTCTCCAACAATTAGCAAGTACGCATGGAAAATTTGTCACAAGAGATAAAAAAGAAGAAGATATGTATATGTAACATCCCCGAATTAACTCACCGAGATATTGTTCGCTTTAGCCCGTTCCATATTGAGCCTCACCGCTTTGTCCTTTGGTGTACATAATGTTTTCATTAGAGCACGCTCAACTTTGGAGTTCCAAAGCTAATATTACCATTACGCTAAAATGTGCCCCCGTGGGTTAATACCATTTTTCATTCATATATATTTTAGAATTGCTCTATCTCTCTGTTCAGTGCACAGTTCGCTTCACTCTTGCCCCCTACACCATTCTAGAAGCCCGTTAGAAACCGCTCCTTGTCTAGATCCTCTAGCCCCAGTAACCACTCTCTTCTCTCGTCGGACTGGGTCGTGACATTCCTATATTAACTCGCTGAGGTATTATTAGCTTTAGCCCGTTCCATACCAAGTCTCACAGTTTTGTCATTTGGCGTACATGTGAGCATCTTCCCAATAGATCACCCATCTCGGGAGTGCTTTCATCAGAACACGCTTACCTTTAGAGTTTCAAAGCTTAGCATTGCTGTTACGTCAAAATGCGCTTTCATGAGTTAATTTCAATTTATATATATATATATATATATATATATATTTCAAAATCGTTCTCCTTTTGTTCGATGCATAGTTCAATTCATTTCTACCCCCTTCGCCATCCTAGAAGCATGCTAAGGGCCACTCCTTGTCCAGGCCATTTGGCTTTGCTCTCGTCAGACTGGATCGTCATGGTATATATCTAGAAAATGGCGCTTCTTTGTTCATAATACAAAGGACAAAATCTGGCCATCCACATATCACATAAAATTCGTGCGGATCAATGTACGTCACAGCAAAAAAACATTAAAGAACTCATTCTTACAAGACCGAACGAACGAACGTGATGATTGCATGCACGAGACTACAAACTTCATTAAAATAGCCAAAAAACGTGCGGGACCACGCAAGAAACTTGCACTGCGTCTCCATATTTTACACTAGGGTTCATTTCGTCGATACGGGTTGGTGATGAAACTTTCCATTGAACTTTATAGATTGACAAAAAATCTGTATAGAATAAGTCAATCGTGTCAAATGGAAAATCAAATAAATAGAACACCGACGGAATTCCAATTTCCAAGTAGGAAAGGGACAATTTCCTGCCTCCATGTACCTACACATTTCTCTGTTCAGCAACAGGCGACCTACTTCATTAAATAATCGGTCGATCGACGGATCGAGATTGCCATTTCAAACATATCCAATTGAATCTTGGTTGGGAAACTTGTCGTAATTTCTTCAATATTTTTTGCCACCCCCCAGAGATGATCCGACATCTACCTATTTCTTGACTTTCGAAGGTGATGTCACGAAATCCGAGTTCTTAAGTCCACATCGTTTAACGTGAAATCGAGCTAATGTACACTAAGAATTTCCACGATACGGGCCAACTAATCACACGCACGTGGTCGAATGAACAGTGAGGTCTATGATAAATTAAAGGTCAGTTTGGAGGAGCGGTTTTGATTTTTTGGTGAAATCGCTCTGAAAAAATCTTTATCCCGCATTTTCCAAAGTCAAGAGCCTGGAGGCACACTCCAAGTTCAATGCGATTTCCGAAAGTTTTTCCTAAGTTCACATGATCTTACGTAGATTGTGCCATGATTTTTGACAAAAGGAAGGAACTACAACATGATTATTTCGCTTGGCCAAGATAAATTTTCAACATGATTAGACACTAGACACGGTCATGGGACAGTAAAGAAAACAATGTGCGGGAACAAATGTAGGTGCTTGTTTTAGCTTTTTTTTTTAAGTAAAAAGTTAAAAAATTGTAAAAAACTAACATAACTTTTTCAAAAATAATGACAAAAATAAAATAAAATATTAAATTCTAATACGTGAAAAGTTAATGGTATAAGTCACTCCAAATAATTAATATTTAGAAATCAATAACGTTTTATATATATAATCACTTTTCAAATTATGCCCACACAATGCTTTGTGTAAGTATAACAAAGTCATTCAACGTTATTAACATTTCAAATACACTAAATACAAAACTCTTCCAATCTTTTTTGAAACTGGACTGTGATTGTTCAACCCTGTTACTCTAAACGGCAAAGGTGTTGGAGACGTTGAACCTAGGCGCAAACCGCCGAAAAGTAATGCCGTAGCAACAGATGGATATCTTGGTGTGGCTCATTACTGAAGACGGATTCAGTGATCGACTGCAGATTTTGGTTCGAAAAAATCACAGATTTGCTCTTTGAACGAGTAACCCCTAACCTTATTATGATTATTCATCTTATTATTTGGAGTCTGTTTTGTTTTGAAGTTGTTTGGGTCTTGTTTTGGTTTGCAGTTGAACCGTGTTGTTTTTCTCTTATATTTCCGAAGAAATGAATGAAATGTTGCCTTGACAAAAAAAAATACACTAATTAATTACTATGTTAACATCAATACTAGCTGAATTTTATGGCGTGATAGTGGTGGTTGGGGTAAAATTATTTCACTCAGATCAAATGGCGAGTTGATGAGCCCTTGACCACGGTAAGTTTAGACTTAAGTGGCCCACCTTCATTGCCCAAAAGTTCGAATACAATAAAGAACTATATTGACCACACAACATTTCCTTTAACATATGAACTCTTTTCTCAACCATTCCAAAGAATAAGTCAAAGGCGATTTTTTATCTTTGAAGATTATCATTTTCCCTCCCCCGATCATCTTTCATCAAAATGGCGAAGAAATTTAGGGGTTACGTGCACATACTTTGTCGAGCAATCCAAGTGACTGAAAAATTTGATCTAGCAAATTTGGGTAAGACGAGAGCTAAGACCCATCGTTTGATTGGCCAGTGGATTTTAGTTCCCATCTAACTTAGTTGACGAGATTAAATGAAAATTTCACCAATCTAAAAATTCATGGTAGACTGTCTAGAGGCAATTCAAGAAAGTAGGCTATATTCGATATCGAATGGTGATTCATCACATCACTTAACAATGGTATAACTAGCGATTCTCTTACCTGCCTTAATCTTTGTTGTTAACTCCTCCATCCGAATATCGAGGACTGAGATTACAAATTAGTGATGGAGAGATATCATTAGATCGACAAATTGTCTTTATTTGAACTAAAAAGAGAATTCTGGGTTTGACCATTATGGTTGTGCCCTTTATGCTATATGGGCCACTTCCTCGTTCCCATTTTATATTTCACAGATTGGCGATTGATCAAAGAAGAGACACGTAAACGCACGAGTAAAAGTGAAAACGCGAGACCCAACTTTAATCCACAAGTTGATCACCTCCAAAAGAAAGCATGATTGAAAACGTTGAATGATTCAACCCCTGCCTAAGAAAAAGACTTATTAAGCAAGCATTGATGGAAGTTACTCAGGCTAAGTGGGTGCAACGACTGCAATTTGGCTTGAACTGAGCTGGCCCGCTCTAAATCAAAACCTAATCTGCCAACCTCAAACAAACACGCACTCTCTCTCTCTCTCCCCCTTCCATGGGACTTTATAATAGAGCTGCTACTGTCCTTCCTTTCTCAAATCCAAGCAGATTTATAGCCAACTCTCTCAAGTCCTCGCTCAAACACTCTCTCTTCCTCTCTCGAGTCCAAGCATATTAAGAGTTTGCTCTCTCGAATCCTCACCCACATTGTCATTTGAAGAGGAAGAGCTAATTAGCCGCAGCAACATCTTCTTCTGCAAAAAATATGGAGGCTCTCAACAAAATCTCTTTCCTTTTGGGAGTTCTCCTGCTCTTCTCTATGGCAGTGGCACTGGCAAATGCAAAGACTTGCTACCATGACTTTGTCGTATGTTTCCTCCTTTGTACCATTGAGTTTAGGATACGTTTAGCTTTTTGTTATCTTTCGTCCATTTCTAATGAGCTTCTTGGGCGAAAATAGGTTCAAACAACCAAAGTGAACAGGCTGTGCAACACCCACAACACCATCACGGTGAACGGGCAATTCCCGGGCCCGACTTTGGAAGTTAACAATGGCGACACCCTCGTCATCAATGTCGCTAACAGAGCTCACGAAAACGTCACCATCCACTGGTAATTCGAAATGTCGAAAAATTATGGTCTATCAAGAGCTTATTAGGAAAAAAAAAGTGAAGTTTACAACGCATGCACTGTCAATCACATGATGGTTTTCTCAGGCTGTGGACATATAGTTGAAACATTTGCACATGCATGGAACAGAACATGCCTACGCATGCAATGTGTACGTCCACCATGTATAACTCATGACCATGCCTACATATCTAATTAAAGAAAGCCTTGATTTGCCACCAGGCATGGGATCCGGCAGTTGAGGACTGGTTGGGCCGACGGGCCGGAATTCGTGACTCAATGCCCGATTAGGCCCGGCGGAAGTTACACGTACCGTTTCACCATCCAAGGGCAAGAAGGAACCCTGTGGTGGCATGCACATAGCTCATGGCTAAGAGCGACTGTGTACGGTGCTCTAGTCATTCATCCAAAGGAAGGCGCCTCGTATCCGTTTCCAAAACCAAAGCGTGAAACTCCCATCCTTCTTGGTAATTTTTTTGGTACCAATTACGCTTAATCCCATTACTGATTAGGAGCTTATTTTAATGGAAAAGCACATCCTATTACAAACGCTTCTAATTGGGGATTCATTATGCAAGGGTCCACAGTGATGATTTTGCCTGGTTTTGCTTAGGCGGGATTGATGAGGGTGGCCATGTTTTAGTCTAGATGGCCAACTAACCTTCCATACCGACAGCTAGCAATATATTCACACACGATACAATAGTTCAACGACAGTAGATTAAGGATGATTACAGTTCCACTGATGGTGTCTTAAATGGTGACGATGAACAGGGGAGTGGTGGGATGCGAACCCCCTTGACGTCGTGAGAGAATCAACCAGAACCGGCGGGGCTCCGAACATTTCCGATGCTTACACCATCAACGGTCAACCTGGAGATCTCTACAACTGCTCGAGCAAAGGTAGATTCGAAGAAGATTTACACAGCTAATCTGATTGATATTCATCCAGCCAAAAATGAGAAGTCGAGTCTTCCTTCTTAACCCACCAAAATGTAGTCACCAGGACAAAAAACAAAGAGAAATTTTGAGACAGAAAGTTAGCTAAGAATTAAATGTTTTTTTTGTCTACTGGCTGCGCCTGAAGAAAACAATAACCAAGCACGGTTTTTAAACTTTAATAATGATTAATCTCGAGGGTCGAAAGTGATGTCGCAGTTCAGCTAAAAAATTTCATGATGATTATGTATTTTAATCTTTTCGCATTCCCATGCGCCATGATGACACGTGTTTTTTCAACACTACTTGGTAGCTAGGGCCCTACTCACGTGAATGGTTTTTGCAAAGGGAATGTCAAAAGTGGACACAACATTGGGAATTTCAATTTGATTACATATGCGATGCTGAGAGCCGACGGCTTCGTACCTAATTTGACCCTTTTGCAAGAGGACAGACCAGGACTAGTCTTTCAGAACAAGTTAAAGACCAAATTACCCTCATTTTGTTGCATTCAATTATTAAAACAATAGCTCTAGTAGCAACATTAACCAATAATCAAGTAAGGTAAGAGAGATAAAACTAAACCAGAATGCAAATCAACTGATATTTACTTAATCTGGTTGCTCTGCAGACACCGTCATAGTTCCCATCGACTTGGGAGAGACCCACCTCCTCCGAGTCATCAACGCTGCGCTCAATCAGGAACTATTTTTCTCCGTAGCGAACCACACATTCACCGTGGTTGGTGCTGATGCCTCCTACCTCAAACCCTTCACCACCTCGGTGATAATGCTAGGGCCGGGCCAAACCACTGATGTTTTGATCTCGGGGAACCAGCCACCGGCTCGGTACTACATGGCGGCCCGAGCCTACCAGAGCGGTCAGGGAGCGCCTTTCGACAACACCACTACCACAGCCATACTAGAGTACAAGTCCGCCCCGTGCCCTGCCAAGGGCATATTGAGCAATCCGGTCATGCCAGCCCTACCGGCTTTCAATGACACGGCCACCGTCACGGCCTTCACTCAAAGCCTCAGGAGCCCCAACAAGGTGGAGGTTCCCAGCGACATCGACGAGAACCTCTTTTTCACGGTCGGCCTAGGACTCTTTAACTGCCCGAGCAATTTCCCAAGCAGTAGGTGCCAGGGGCCGAATGGGACCCGTTTCGCGTCCAGCATGAACAACGTGTCCTTCGTGCTCCCGTCTAATTTCTCGATCCTGCAGGCCCATAGGCAGGGCGTGCCTGGAGTTTTCACCACTGATTTTCCGGGTAACCCGCCGGTCCAGTTCGATTACACCGGGAATGTGAGCCGCTCGCTGTGGCAGCCCATTCTGGGCACTAAGGTGTACAAGTTGAAGTACGGGTCTAGAGTGCAGCTTGTCTTGCAAGGAACCAACATACAGACGGCCGAGAACCACCCGATCCACATTCACGGGTACGATTTCTACATCCTCGCCACAGGGTTTGGAAACTTCAACCCCCAGAAGGATACGGCGAAGCTCAACCTCGTCGACCCACCAATGAGGAACACAGTCGGCGTCCCCGTGAACGGGTGGGCCGTCATTCGCTTCCTCGCCGACAATCCAGGTAAAGACTAGGAGAGGTTCCATCCAACTTCTTTACAAGATAAGATGTCCTCTTATTTCTGATGATGACCAAGAACAAATTATTGTTTGGATCTACAAAACAGGTGCTTGGTTGATGCACTGTCACTTGGATGTTCACATCACCTGGGGATTGGCCATGGTTTTCCTTGTCGAGGATGGAGTTGGTGAATTGCAGTCTGTAGAGCCGCCTCCTGCAGATTTACCTCCATGTTAAGAGATCTGCGGCTGACGATAGTCCTCAACGAAGAATTCGTAAAGTCCGTAACACGGGCCTTTTCTAATTTTTTGTTTTTGCTTTTCGTTTTCGTTTCTCGGAGTTCGAGTACAGTGATTGTTTCCCCTCAATTCAGGGAGCCACTAGTCGTTTGTTTTTCTCGCCGTTTTCTTTTCTTATAAATAAAATGGTCCTGCATACGCAATGTCTGGTACCATCAGATACTGTTTCAACTTTAAACTCATACGTATTTCTTCAATATAGATGTTCCTTTCTCTTTTTTCGTCGACATCCATCCATGATCCGGATCATTTCGAGCTTCCAAGTTTCGCATATTTGTCTGTTCTTATTCAGAACGGTGCCCACCATACTTTAGTCACATTCCAAGAAATTATACAGGAAATGCTTTAAGATATCATAATCTGAACCAAAAGGTCAATCTAGCGGGACCAAAGAACGAATTAATGGGAAGTTGACAGTTGACACCAACCTTCGTTGTTGAGAGCTAAGCCAAGGGTTAAGCTTTTCTTCATTACAAGGAAGTAGAATTCTAGTCTATGGATACCTAACTCTGGACATTGGTCAAGCATGGGTACAACAACATGAACGTCCATTAAGTAAAAGAAAGGAAACACGGAGAGCAGCCAAATCAAAAGTCAAGCGGAGGATCTTAATCTTCTAGAGTGATTTTACAATACCCAAATCTTAACTTGCCAAAAAATTTCATTGTACACCAACATAAAACAAAATTAGTGGCAAAACTGCTGTTGATTTTATGGAATTGGAAAAATAAAGCCTGCTTGATTGGGTCAAGCTTGCTCGGCCTGACCCAACTAATTCGTGCATGATCTTTTTTCTTTATAATGGGTAATTCTAGACAAAAAGTTAAGCAACGACCCGACCCAAAGACCCTATCCAATTCAAATCCGTCAATGAGTACGTCTACTACTTACTAGCCTTGGCATGAAGGGTCACGATCGCGGTGCGTGCACTAGAGGATTGGACCTATCGTTAGAGTAGCTTATTGGATTTGAATTGTTTTCTTATGCTTTTCTCGACTCGGTTTTATTTCACTATTCCTATTCTTTTCTTATCAGGCAATTACTAAATATTATAGATACATTATTTAACGTGGAGTTTCCTTACGTTTATTTGCATAATTGAGAATATACTCATTGAAATTGATTATGGTTAGAATCTCCTTGTCTATTTATTATATGTTTACCACTCGAAGAGACCTGATCTCTTGAGATATTGATCCAATAGGTAAATCATGAGATTTCATGTTTATAAAGTTCCTTTTACATATTCACAATGTGATTGTGTGAAGAAAGATGGGAATGCAATAGAGCTAACAAAAACTTTATCCAGCATTTGAATGAATTTCAACAGTAGTTTTTTATTAGTCACTTGCATCATATAGGTTTATTCACTAGTTTTCGAAGAAGTATTCAGCAGAAATGATACACCAACGCATTATTGACAATCCGTTCCTCATTCCTTGTTGGGGCTCTCTCGATTGTCTGAAAAGCAAGGAAAGGATTTAGGATCGAAGGGTTTTTTATTCGAGGGTCGGGAAAAATGCCGAGAACAATACAAGGGCGCGTTTTTTATTTACACTATGAAACGGCATAAGCAAGCATGGTATGTTTCAATTTGCACCTTGGAAACTTGAAATCAAAAATTAAAAGAAAAAGTTTAACAAAAGAAGCGACTGATCTAAGGAGGAGCGCGTATTAACTTCAGCTATGAACCCAAAAAGAAAGAAAAAAGAAGAAGAAACTCGAGCTATAATATTTTCTCTTTTCCTCAACACGCTGTTCTGTTGAGAAGATACTCTCCTTCGTGTTCAATTGAATGATGGTGGAGGGAGCCTTAGGATCCCCGTAATGGTGCATCACCAACACCAAAGTCGTCTCTCCTCTGAAATCGGAAGATGCAACTAAATCACTGATCACTCCTAGCTCTGGATTCTCGCTCCAGTTCAACATCGTTTCCTCCGGGGAACACACTCCCTGCCCTTCTCTTCTGTCCCACCATCACGAGATCAAACTTGTTCTACAAACCTTGAATTTCGCTCACCGCTTGCTCAGAGTCTTCCACCACGACCTCATGGTACATGGTGCCGACCTTCGCCCTAAATGGCTCGATAAGCCCGCCGTTGAGCTTCATCTCCGTGATTTCGTCGATATCTTTGCCAACATCCTGGAAAATGATACGAACCACCGTGGCGCTCACATTGGGGCGTCCAACCATGCGAATAGCCAATGCCAAGGCCTCGCGGTCGTCTGTCCCACCGACGATTATTACACCGACCCTACAAGAAAATGTCGTTGATTTACTCGTGCAATGCTGCTTGCCTGTGTCCTCCAATGGTCCAACCGTGCACGGAGCGTAAGCTCGTATCTTTTCAGCTAGATTCCGCAAGGCAATGACCTTCAGGACGTTGGAGGTTTCTTGGCTTCCGCGGAAGGGGAGGACAATGAGAGGCACGCCTTCTTCTTGAGCGAGTTGACAGATGTACTCGTGCATTGTCTTATACAATGCAATCGCCATGTAGGGTTTGACTTTCACTAAGTGATTCGAGTTGGTAGAGTAATTCTCGAAAGCACGCATTATGTGGTAAGATCTTTTGGATTTCGTTCTTCTCATCTGCTTGTTGTAGGGGAGGATGAACGGTGTAGCGCGGCCGGCAAGCTCGTTCAGGTGGACGGCATAGGCACAGATTGGACTAGCGACTGTAGGGTTTGATGCTTCGAGAAGAGAAATAATGCCGGGGACGTTATCTTCATTGTGAATGCAACAAACGATCCGTAACTCCACGTTGCTTGGGTGTGTCTGCATAGATCTTCTTAATTTTCTTGTAGACCCACTCAATCTTTTGTGAGGGTTATAGAAAACGTCTATCAAAGGCGTCACAACCGCAGCAATTGCCACTTGCGATAACACCGTCACTGTATAAGCTTTCCTGTCTATGTCCTGCATGTCCGAGTAGCTATAACTAAGGCATAGGCTTAGCATAAACTAAATTCAAGCAAGTGATGAGAATAGAAATGAATTACTCCCTTTTTCAAAGAATGAGCCTCACAATCAATAGATATCACATTGCAAGTTGCGTGGAATGTCTAGGATAGGATGCCCACAGTAAATGACACGAATCCTACACAATTTCGAAGTGAATTAGTTTGTGTTGTTATATAAAGTGAAATAGATTTGCTCCCGTCACCTCAATGATAGACAACGAGCTTTTTGGCCTCATAATAATTATAGTAGTTTCATTTAATTGCTCTAAACTAACAGATATATGCTGATTAGTAGCTAATGGAAGAGGAATATATAGGTGATACGTATGATCCCACCTGTACAAGCCAGCGGTTGAGGAGATATACGTCGTATGGACCCTTGATGTTCAACATGAGGCCAAGCAAGATTGAATGTTGAAGCCTTAGTTTGCAGCACAACGCAGCCACCAGAGCTCCAACAATCTTCAGTAAAGTAGTCATTAGTATAATGAGGAGGATCTCTCCGGAGACCTTCAAATCTACCAAACGAATATCTGCGTTGAACCTGGCAACAACATAGAACATCAGCATCAAGATCTCCATGGTGATTAGCTCGATCTTTTCGCTTAAGGTCACTCCTAGCGGCGGCCCATTCGGTATCACTAGCCTGAACATTATAACTCCGAGGTTTATTGAGCCTATCATGTCAGTCAGAGATGCCATTACCAAAGCTACAACTAAGATGGACGAGATATAAAACTCGCCCACGGGTTTCCTTTCCGGCAGCTTCTGAATAATCAACATGATCACTGGCCAGATAATACCGAATGTGAGCAAGAGGAAAGCCGTGGTTGATATAACACAATAAAATAAGTATCTTGGTTCTATGAGGTATGCCCCCAGGAACAAAAACAACCACACGATTGTTTCACTGACCATGGAACAGGACACCGCAAGCTGCCCTAAATCGGAAGTCATGATGTTGAGCTCATTGAAAGCGTGGACAACATTAGGGAAGCGCGTGAAGCTCAATCCAGCCATGAATAAAAATTGGGAGAGTTGGCTTTTCATTCCAGGAAGGCTTAGCTTATGAGCCAGGAGAAAGGTCAGGGCTAAAGGCACAAGCATGCTCAACGAGCCTATGATCGAGTCGTTTCTCATCATACGGTGGATAATGGTTATGTCCGCTTTCACTGCGGCTAGGAATAGGAGGTAAGTTGTGCCAAGAGCGCCTAATGTCCTTGTAACATCCTGAATTTCGACCCATTTCCGGGATCCAACGAAGTGGATATTATTTCTCATCTGATTTTAGTACGTCTCGCCCGGAGCTGGCCCCTCGCGGGATACTGACCAATGGGAAAGGCTAACTAGGAAAACGGTACGTGGACCGGGGACTCGATCGCGAATCGGGCACTGATTCCGAGAAACGACAGGGAAGTATTTTGGGCCAGTGTGGGCCGATCTTAGGAAAGTAACGGATTTGATTTGGCCAACGACGTACGATCGGATTGCGGGTGATTCCGCTCGACCGAGAGTACGAGTGGCGAACAAATCCCGAACTTGAACCGAACGATCGTGACCCCTGGAATAACCAATAATTCCTTGCGTTCTCCTGGTAATCGAATCCGTCACGACTCGAGTGACCCTAGGTTGATACGCGTAACCCCTAAACAGCCACCCGTCAGTGAGAGGCTCTAAAATTTTGAATTGAGCAATTTTGATCGCCAAATTGGACCCGAACTTCGATGTCGAAATTCTATGGGTGTTTGCGACTATTTTGCGAGGCCAACGTCATTTTTGAGTGGCCACACATATTTGGGGTCGGTACGGTCGAAAAATGGAATTTCGACCCGGGACCGGAAAATTACCATTTTGCCCTTATGGCCTATTTTGGAGTTCCGAATTTTGGGCTATTTTTGGGATTAAATTGTGGATAATTATCAAGAAAATTCAGAATTATTGAAAGACCAAAAGGCCCATCAATTATTGGGTAAGGATGAATAATATCCATTGGATCAAAGGGCAAAATGGTCCAATGCGCAAGATCGCGACACGTGGCAATCAACTTTTGACCATTGAAGACTATTTGACTCCCTTTCTCTCTCCTCCTCTCCCCCATTCGGCCATTTCCCCTTTCTCCTCTCCCTCCCACCGAAACCTCCTCCTCCCTCTCTTCCCCTTGTTCGGCCTTGGACCGCCAACCTCCGGAGCGTCGTCGCGCGCGAGAGGACCGCCGTTCGCCGCCACCACCCTCACCGACCAGAACCTCCGCTGTGAGCCGCCAGAACGCCGCCGCCGATTTCGCCGTTTACCAGCAATCGGCCGCCCGTTCTCGTCGACTAGAATTTTGGGGAGCGTAAATAGATGAGTGGAAATTCTAACCCTTAATTAGGATTACGTGCACTTTGGACAAGTTTTAGGGGTTAATTAGTAGGGGCTGATTTGGGCTGAGGTTGTGGTGATTTTAAGGGCCTAATGTGATGATTTAGGGATGGTTTTAAGGCTGTGGAGACTTGGTTTAGAGGTTGTATGAGCTGGATTTGCTTAATGGTGCAAGTTTAATGATTCTCGGATTACTATTTTACTGTACCTCCGCGCTTTGTTAATTTTTTTGTGATCATTGTAGGCCGAATCTGAAGAAGTGTTGTTCATGAAAGTTGTTCCCAACATCTTTAAGTATAACATACTTTAATTTGGGAATTTTTGGAAATCATTTGAGGCCATTCGGAGGTCCATCTTTGGATCGAAACAAAAACTGCCCGATTTACTGTTCACCCGACCTTCAGGTCTGTTCGAATTTTTATAAATTTTTCCAGGCCTATTTTCAAGATACTTCCTTCACAAAAATTGTTGGGGACATTTGTGGCTATAACATATAAAAATTTCAAGGTTTTCCAAAATGATTTGGGCACTGAATAAGTTGTATTTTGATGGCCTAAGGGGCTGTCCGAGCGAATCGGATTTTGTCCGACTTTGAGTGTCAAAACGAGGTGTTTACGGTTTGAACTGGGTTTCTAGTTTTCACGGAAAATGTTCATCGAGATGTTTTGTACAACATATCCAAATTTCATAATTTTTGGAATTGATTTACCATTTAATTCAAATGGATTTCTGTTACTGTGCAACTGCCCAGTTTGGACCCGATTTTGTATATTTCCGATTTTTCTCTCTCTCGGACTGATTAGTGGCTGTCCATTGAGGTTTAATTGGGCCTTGTGCGGCTAATGTGTGATTTGTTCATGAATTGCCATGTGTGAATGGTTGGGCCATGTAGTGGCTGATTTGGGTACAAATTGTGCTGATTGTGTTAAATTTTATGGTGCCTCGTTTGAGCGACTCGGTGGTTGAATGGTACTTTGTCGTGCTCAATTGTTTAATGCCATGCCGCCTGATTTCGTGTTCGAGCAATGCGGTATGTGATTGGCCAATCATTGGTGTGAATGTTTATTGCCCAAGTGCGTAAATTATGTTTTGGGCCACATGGTACTAGTCGGGCAAGTGCGCATGTTATGCGAATAAGTATGGGCAATTGATTGGCTATTTGAGCACGTTGATTTGGCATGTTTGTTGAAATGCCGTGCTGAAATTGAATGCTCATGTTGCATTGTACGACATTGCATGGCCACGCATTGTGTATGCCGAGAATGGGGCATGAGATGAGATTGTGCGAGAATGCGTGCCTGACATGAGCATGTGATCACCCAATTGCCCGATGCGTTTTACGCTAGGTTCAGATAAAAATTGGCAGTGTGCCGTGTGATCACTTATGGCCTTCGGGTCGTGGCCTTCGGGTCGTGCTGTCCTCATGCACTTTGAAGCAGGACGATGCCCAGTTCGTCCGGAAGACGGCGTTGGTCCGTAAGGAGATCGGTGTTGCGCCTCATGCACTTTGAAGCAGGCTAGAGACACTGGGCCGGATGAGCTTTGGCGCGGGCCGCGGAGTGTTGTGAGCCTTCGGGCCGTGGCCTTCGGGTCGGAAAATTGTGGGCCTTCGGGTCGTGGCCTTCGGGTCGGTTTATAAACTGCAAAATGAGCCGTGTGCTAGAGTGCATGATTTGAGAAAATTCATAAGCATGGCAAATGTGTGCCAGAGAATGTGGCTAATGTGCGTGCCGGTGATTCGTGTGTGAGACAGGCACTTTGAAGCATGAGCATGCGTATGGCGTACGTGTGACCAATGTGTCGCGTATGTGCCGTGATTTATATAAAATGCCTAACCTGCAGGGTCAGTTGTATGATTGATCTGGGCCCGAGGGCCTAGGTTTGTTGTTGTGTTGATTTGCTTGTCGGGAGGTGCATATTAGCCTAGTTTCGGTTTAGGAGGCCTACTCGCTGAGATTCGTCTCATAGTTGTTTAAACCCCGTTTTTCAGACTCCTGACAGAGGTTGCCCGGTGTACCCGATCCATATGAGAATCCGGAGCCCATAGAGCAGGATCCCGAACTAGTTGGAGAGGTCGAGCAGATGCATTCGGAGGATGAGATAATCGAGGCTGAGTCCGAGTCATCAGGATCTGATCCCGATTAAGTTTCCTAAGATCAGCCTTAGCCTCCCTTAGGTCGGGCCAGTAACCCTTTTGATTATAGCCCCACCTTAGACTGCCCCCTTGGCCACTTAGGGATTTTGTTAGTAGTGGCCGTAAACCCGCTTTTGTTTGGTGTTTTTGTATTGGTGATTAGTGGACATTGTATATGTTTTGAAGTCCAATGCAAGTTTTGATTATTAGGCTTTGAATTGTTCGATGCTCCTGCTACCCTTGATCATGTATGGTTTTGTACGGGTGTTTTAATTATTGCTTCCGCATGTGCCTTATGCTCTGTGTTGGGAGTTAGGTCGGCGACGCGGCCTGGGACGTCGCAGCAGATTAGACCGGTACGTGGGATAATTGCGCTTCGAGGGGTTTGGGGCGTGACAGTCCTTGCCAATAGAAGTTCTTCTTTTGGGAGTGTCACGAAGTACTTGGTATTCCCCCTAAAAATGGCGTTTACCATAATGCCTGCCTGAAAAAAAATACGACCATATGAACATGTCTATTGCCGCATATAATCTAATAACCACAACACTCATAAGTAAGTGCATCTTTTGAAGTTACCAATAAGATAAGAACACAATAGGTGTTGTTGACATATCGTAAACCATCATCTTGACTTAGAGTTATGATGAATTCGACACCCCTCTAGGATTTAGAATTAAGTAACTTCAGTAGTTGAACTGTAATAACGGAAATATTTTAGAAAGCCGTAAGTTATGATGAACGCCTTTGTTCAACAATACTCAATTAGGCTCCAACGTCATAAGCTAAAACAAATGCAATTGCTTCACAAAAGCCATGTAACTTTCCAAACAATCCATAAGCCATTAGATGTAGGATTCGAGAGAACGTTCTACACACCCTTTGCAAGGCTGACATGGAAAAGCGAACCACTTCTCAGTAAAGTGATGGAAAGAGAGAAACCATTTGGCGTTTGCATTGTGGGAAAAAATGAAAATCGCAGATCTTGATTGGCTTGCTTCTCAAATGATGCATAAGATATGATCATTTCCGAACTGTCCAATTTTTTTTCGCCGTGATAAATTATTGTTCAAATGGTCAGCAAGAACCGAGACTGGCATATGGCGAGATAGAGAAAAAGACTGAAGCGGCACGAACTTACCAAGGCACTGCAAACGAATTGAGGTTGCCTCAATGGCCTGAGGATCAATCGAAGGATGAGATATGTCAAGGTGATACAGATGAACTGAATCACGAACACAAGATAATTCAGCATGAAAGGGTCATTCACGGCCCCAATAAACGTGGACTGCCCAGCAAATTTGGTGCAGATGATCGGTCCTTTTACACGGTGATGCAGAATTTCCCCCGGGAACAGCATAGTTAAAACTCAGAACCCCGCCAAGCCTTTCGAGGTACCTCTTTTTATTTGTTCTAGACAAACGGCATTCTATTTAATCACTGTATGTGCATCCTCTTCTTTCGCACGTTGCCGCCATTAGCAGTGTTTCCTTTTGCCGAGACAAGCACATGACGACATCACATGTGGGATTGAGATGAGTGTCGCTCTAAGCAACGAAGGCTCTAGTACTCATGCGTTGCAATATCGGAAAAAAGAGGGTGAAGAATGAATTCGATTAATTAAGGAGATGGCGGGCTATCATTCCGACTAGGGAAGGGGTAGAGAAGCTGCAGGCTACGAGGTTGACAAAAATTTGAGAGGTCGAGTGATTGATCTTCGCAGGTAGATAAGTTGTTGCTTGAACTCAGGTGCATGTTTACGGGAACTGTAAAGAAACAAGAAAATGCATGGCCACACCACAGAAGGTTCATTTTTGGATTTACGCCGTTGGATAATGGTTGAAACTCCCAACTTCTCCACCAGTCATTCCCAACTTCAACTGTTGCACAGGTACGCCCTTGTTGTTATGGAAAAGATATACGGGGATTATTTGAACAATCCACTTGAATTTGTTTAGGAGAAAACTTCATGGTAAAGGAAATGCTTTCTTAAAAATCGATTTTCAGGAAAATGTTTTCTCCTTTTCAGGTTAGGAAATTCATTTTCTTAACTTTAAAATGCATATTCTTTGACTGTAAATGGTTTTTTGTTGACCGATCATTTTTAGCATATTAAATGCGTGAAAGTCTAGAAAATTAACGTGCAATTTCTTTCGTCTTCTTTATATTCATCGATCAAGTTTAGTCCTAGTCAACTCGGGAAGAGTCACAACATGCACATCAGACTGTTCCACCAAATTAACACTACTCGTGCAACAAGCCACACGATTACGGAAATGCATAATCGTGCAAAGACAACACGTGTATGAACTGTTGGGAAAATTATCCAAAAAGTCATAAACTTATTGCACTTTTGCCAATTCAGTTTTAAATTTTTTTAATTGTGCCAATTGAGTGTTAAACGTTTTCATATTTTGCCAATTGAGTTCATCTGGCCAATTTTGATTGGAAATTACTGATTAGACGCCGATCGTCTTACGTGCCAGGGTCGGCTTGAATTTGAGAGGGCAAAGTGCATAATTATTTGATGTGCAAAGACAACACATGTATAAATTGTTGGTAAAATTGTCCAAAAAGTCCTAAACCTATTGCACTTTTATCAATTCAGTCCTAAACCTTTTAATTGTGCCAATCGAGTCCTTAACCTTTCCACGTTTTGTCAATTGAGTCCCTCCGACCAATTTTGGCTTGAAATTGTTGAGGTAGATGTCAACCGTCCTACGTGGCACGATCAGCGTAATTCTGATGCGGACAATTTATAATTATATTTGAATGTTTTTTCGAATTAATATTTTTTTTCTTTTTCTTTTTTTTTCCTCTCTTCTTCCTCTTGTCTGTCGCTCAGCCTCGAGGAGTGGCCAGAGTCCTCGCCGGCCTCTGGCAAAGGTTGCCATGGCTTATTGTAACTTACAAAGTATGACTGAGATTTTTTTTTTTTGGTTACCAAAAAAAAATATTGGAACGAGGAAACCTAATCTAATTCAAAAAAAAAATTACAAAAGTTATCTGGAAAAAAGGCCATTGGTCTTTTTTCTTACCAACAGTAATTTGACACTTACCATTATTGTCCCTAATGATAAAAAATCATCCGAGTTCTGCATACAGGAGTCGAGGATGGAGTTCGTCAAGGACGTCACGATTTCCGGTACTGCCCCTTTCAACTCGAGCTAGAGATCATGCCGCTAAATTGTTTTCAACAAACTGTTCTTCTAAGAAGATACTCTCGTTCCTGTTCATTTGCAGTGTTGTGAAGGGAGCTGCTGGTGTCGCCGTGATGTTTCGTCACCAACACAGACGTCATGTCTCTGCAGAAGTCCGATGATGCCAAGAAATCTCCGATCACTCCAAGCTCCGGATTCTCGCTCCAATTCAACATTGTTTTCTCCGAGAACAAACTCCCCGCCCTTCTTGTTTGTCCAACCATTATGAGATCAAACTCGTCCTTCAAAGCTCGAATATGACTCATCGCTTGCTCGGAATCTTCTACAGCTACCTCGTGGTACATACAACCTTCAGTTGCGTCGAGCTTCGCCCTGTATTCGTTGATGAGCTCATCATCGAGCTTCTCGTCCACCTTTTCTTCAATATCCTGATCAACTTTGGGGAAGACGAACCGAAGCACCACGACACCCACATTGGGCCCTCCGACCATCTGAATAGCCAACGCTAATGCCTCACGGTCGTCTGTCCCACCAATGAATATCACACCAACCTTACTTGCAATCAACTGTGCTTTACTCGTGCAACGGTGTGTGCCCTTGTCCACCAATGTCGCAATCGTGCACGGAGCGTAAATTTGTATGTTTTCACTCAGATTCCGGAAGGCGACGGGCTCTGCGACGTTGGAAGTGTCTTGGCTTCCATGGAATGGGATGACGATAAGAGGAATGAGTTCTTCTTGAGCAAGCCGACAGATGTACTCGTGCATGTTCTTGTATGCCGCAATCACCGTGTAGGGCTTTACCTTCACCAAGTGATTTGAGTTGTGGGAGTAATTCTCAAACGCGCACATTATACGGTGCGATGACCTCTTGGATCGAACTCTTGTCATCTGCTTCTTGTAAGGGATCATGATCGGTATTGTGCGGCCAACGAGCTCGTTCAAGTGGACAACGTAGGCGCATATGGGGCTTTCGACCGTAGGGTTTGATGCTTCGAGGAGCGAAATGATGCCTGGGACATTATCTTCGTTATGAACGCAACAAAGAACCCGCAATTCTACATTCCTCGGGGCTGTTTGCATGGATCTTGTCCACTTTCGGCTTGACGCAATTAATCTCGTATGGGGGTTGTAGAAACGATCTATCAAAGGCGTCACGATTGCTGTAAGTGCTATATCTGATAATATCAACGTTGTAAAAGTTTGCTTGTCTATGTCCTGCATTTTGAAACAATAAGTCAATAACAGAATGCAACTTATTCGAAATCAGAGCGAACCAACAAAAAAAAATTTGTCTTTTTCCCTCTTCGGAGTAGGCGGAGGGCCTAATATTGCTAGACCCTTTTTTTTGTCTTTTTGGTTCATTAGACTAATAATATTGACATTTAAGAGTTCAAACTAGGCGAACCCTTTAAAAAAATTAAGCTGTAATGTGTCGATTTCATCATACCAGTGAGAGAATAAGATTTTGAGCTCACATTTTGAGTTCGTAACCACATCAGGTATACGAAAACTCATGACAGAGTAAAGATCCTCTTAATCATGGGGGTAAATATATAGGTGGAGAGATTGATCGGATCAAATAATTGAAAGGATCCGAGATATGTAATCTCGAAAAAACATTAGCATATGGTTCGACTGATAGGAGTTAAGAAAATTTAAGGACCTTACCTTCTTCACAAGCCAGCGGTTGAGTAGATGTATGTCATATGGACCCCTGATGTTCAACATGAGGCCAAGCAAGACACAATGTCGGAGCCTCACTTTGCAGAATAATGCCGCGGATAGAGCTCCGACAACCCTTGTTAGAGCACTAACAAACGTTAAAAGGAAAATCTCTCTGGAGATCTTGAATTCCATCAAACTAAGGTCCATGTTATACCCAATAGCGACATAGAACATTGGCATCAGAACCTCCGTGCAGACCGCCTCAATCTTCTCACTTAGGGTCGACCCCAGTGGCGGTCCATTCGGTATCACTAGTCCGAAAAGAAGAACTCCGAAATGCATGGCACCGAACATGTCGGTTAAACCTCCTACAATTAAAGATCCAATGAAAATAGATGTGATGTAAACTTCGCGCACCGATTTGCTTTCCGGCGTCCTCTGGATAATCAACATGATCAAGGGTCGTACAATGAAGAAAATACCCAATATCGCACCCAAGGCAGCCAAAACGGACCAAAGAAATTGTGGACGGTGTCGAAGGTATATGCCTATGAACAACCACACCCATATAAATACTTCGCTGAGGATGGAACAAGACATAGCGAGCTGGCCTAAATCGGACGTCATAATGTTGAGCTCATTGAAAGCGTAGACAATATTAGGAAATCGCGTGAGCGATACAATCCCAGCAAATATGTACTGGAAGAACCCCTTACGTATTCCAGGGAGACTCAAGGTATGGGTCAAGAGCGAGAGGACGGCGAAAGTCATAAGTATGGTTGACGAGCCAATGATCGAGGCATTTCTCATCGACCGCTGGATGACAGTCATGTCCGTCTTCACCGCCAATAAGAATAGAAGGTATGTCAAGCCGAGATCACCTGTGGTTCTAACCAGTAGTAGTTCTTCGTCCGGGAAGGCATTCTTCAAGTAGATGTTGGTCCTCCCCATGACGAAATTGCTCACTAGAACGCCGGCCTGAAAATGCGAGATGACAAATGAAATTGTTTTGTTCTCTCAATTCCTGAGAGCACATCATTAGCCATTGAAAAGAAAATCGCAACATCAACGTGTGTACCCGGTTGGAGTTTCACATCATAAAAGGAAATAACGAAAAAATATATGTAAAGAGAGAGAGAGAGAGAGAGAGAGAGAGAGAGAGAGAGAGAGAGAGAGAGAGAGAGAGATTGAAATGACATGGATATAGGAATGTACCTACCAAAACACTGCAAACGAATTGGGGCTGTCGAAGAGACCTGAGAAGAACTCTGAGGGTGACATAGACAAGGGAGATCGACATGAACTGCAACAAGAACAAAGGGTAAATGCCTTTTGTGTACTCGCTCGACTCGGAGCAGATGACCGGCCCTTTTAGCTTCCCGTGCCATTGTCCATCGGCCAACAACGGAACTCCCGAAGACGACATCGTCTTGAAAGAGAAGTTAACCTTCCACTCTTTTTTACCCTTTTAATGTTATTGTGATTACCAGTTTGTAATGCAGCCTCAACCTCAGGGGGTGTTGATCCCCCGTCATTAGAGAGAGAGAGAGAGAGAATGGACAACGAGTTCTGGTTTTGAGTTGTTCTTGAACTTGTTGTGTCCAAGCCTGAGCTGTAGGAAGATGCACCACCCAAGAGAGTAGGGTTTTATTTTTGGGTTTATGTCGTTGGGTGACAGATTCAACGTCCAACTGCTTGCAATTATTTTTTTGCAACATAGGCGATTTTACTTCTCAAACCAATGGACTACCGATCAAACTTATATTTCCAAAGTGAGTAAATGCAATCTTATATCTCTATCCGAGGTACTCTTTATTGAAATGAGTCCTAAATTCTAGAATATATCTTAATTTACCCACTTGAAAAGCAAGGAAAAACGTTAATCTCTTCATGATTAAAAAGGACAATTATATTGTACATAATCTTCATTTTGATATTAAACGTAGTGTAATAGAGTTACGGGATTGGACAAGCACACCAATATATTGTATCGGGAGTACAAAATTATTAAATATAGAGACTTTTAGTCTGCATACAAACATTAAAAATTGTCTCGGTTCTGTAAAGAGGTTTAACTTATGTTAAATCCGACAATATTTGGGACATTACATATGACATCACAGGTATAATGCTCCGGTTTTACTTTTGAACTTCTATGTTTTTAACATTGTGATTTTTCAAACCATACCAACCAAAATTTCTAAAAGTATACAAGTCTAAAGTTACGTCAAATTTTTTTTAACTTTTCATGATTAAAGTATGGTATGTATTTTCTCATTCGAGTAAGGCTCAAATCACTTATTTCTTTTGCCCTCCATGGAGTTTGAAAATGGAACATATATAAAAGAACAAGATATGATTTTTCAGGTCCTTTCGGTATGTAGTTGTACGACATCTCCTGAGCCGAGGTGATCAAGTTTTCAAACAATTCGCTTCTGGCTCCATGGTGTGCGTATAGGGTAAAGAAAGTAAAGGAAACTTTGAATTTTTTATTTTCCTTGTGCTACTATTGACGTACAGAATGAGTTTAAATAGACATAGAGTTACATGATGAGAGAAAATTGATTCGCTAAATTGAGAAAAGTATCCTCAAATTGAGGAAAGAATTTTGAATTTAAATTTTTTTGAGAAAGGCAGAGGAGATCAAGTTGTTGGATTATAGGATGATATGTTATCATCTCCCCGCAAGCTGAGCACGATTAGTTGAGCAAAAAGCTTGGTCTACAAAAATTTGGTGCGGTTGGAAACCTTTTGTGAATAAAAATGCAATTTGATCTTTACTAGAGATGAATTGCACAATGAGAATCGTACGCCCAACTAGTTCCCTAACATAATGAAAATCAACAACAACATGTTTCGTTCTTGAATGGAAAATTGGATTGTAAGCAAGAGAGATTGCGAAAACGTTATCACACCAGATGGTGGGTGGCATAAGAAGTGGACAATGCAATTCACGTAATATGGAGCATAGCCAAACTAATTCAGCTACAGTGTGAGCTAGACACCGGCACTCAGCTTTAGATGAAGAACGTGCCATCGTGGCTTGTTTCTTAGCACTCCAAGAAATGGGGTTGGAACCAAAGAAAACACAGAACCCACCACTAGAGCGTCAATCAATGGGGCAGCCTACCCAGTCGGCATTGCAGTAGGCAGTGAGCTGGTCTTGGCTTGGACAATAGTGAAGATTGTGAGTGATTGCGCCTTTCAAATAACACAAAATGCGGTTGAACGCCACAAGATGATCCTCAGTGGGAGACATTAGGAACAGGCAAACTTAATTAACGGCAAAAGAAATGTCAGGACGCGTTAGAGTGACATATGGCAGCGCTCCAACAAGATTCCAATAAAGAGTGGGATCTGATAGTGGAGGTCCATCACCTTGGCCAAGTTTTTGAGACACATAAGGCATTGGGATTGGTTTACATCCGACCATATTGCACACTTCTAAACATTCATAATAAACTTCGACTGATTGAATTGTATACCTTCGAAATTACATATTATCTGAACACCAAAAAAACAAAAAAGAGGTCCAAGGTCCTTCATGCGGAAATGATGACCAAGATATGAGATTAGCTATGGCAACGATCGTTGCCAGTGAGTATGATATCATCAACGTACAGGAGGAGATAAACAGTGATGGATCAGAGTTGGAGATGATGAATCCAAAATCATAGAGCTTTGAATTAAACTTTTCATACTAGGCTTGAGGAGCTTGATGGTGCCATAAATAGATTTCTTCATGTGACAGACATGATTAGGTTTGCCCAAATAAACGTAGCCTGGAGGCTGGGACATGAACACTGTTTCCTGCAAATCACTATGTAAAAATGCACTTTCGACATCAGGTGAAGGTGGAGGAGTAGAGCTATCGACATGATGCATCAGGCGATGACCACGTAAAATAGGCGTGAACAAGGATTTCCAAAGGAGATAGTTGAATGCATTATGTTTGATTGGGATGAGGTTGGAAATGTTTGAAATCACAATAGGCGGGGATTGAACTGGGGTATTGACAACGCTAGTAGCTTTAGAATCGGTGGAGAGAGCAATGAGGAAGAAGAAGCAGGATCATAAGTAAGCTTATTGATGTACATGATGAGTTTAAATAGACAAAGTGAAGGAAGCTTTGAATTTTTAATTTTCCTTGTGCTATTATTGATGTACATAATGAGTTTAAATAGATACACAATTACATGGCGAGGGCAAAATCAATTCACATCCTCAAATTGAGGAAACAAATTCAAATTCAAAGTATCCTCAATTTGAATTAAATTTTTTTTGAGAAAGGCAGAAGAGATCAAGTTGCTGGATTTTAGGACGATATTTTATCATGGGGCTTGGATGGATGTTTGATTAGATTAGATTACCCTACTTCCTAAGTGCAGAGAAGTAAATTACTCGATGAAATTAAATAAAATTGAATCAACAAGAAACTAAATGCTTAAAGTAAATAAACCCCAAGGCTGTCAAGCTGACCGCCTAGAGTCTAATTTTGCCACAATCACCATGGTAGAGAGATCACAGATGCTGATACTTAATATTTCTAATCGATGGAACCATTTATTCCATATAGCATGGGAAAAAGCTACGATCTCCAGAGGGAGAGGGTCCTAATTGCAAAAGAAGAAACCAAAATTCATGTTAGAATTGGTTTTATCAACAATTTGTTCTGTCAAGAAGACGTTGCTCGCCTTCGCATTTCCTAGAGCCAAATCTATTATGGTACGAGGCTTTGGTATCACCATGATGTTTCATCACCAACACCGACGTCATCTCCCCAAAGAACTCTGACGACGCAACTAAATCGCCGATCACTCCCAATTCTGGAATTTCACTCCAAGTCAACATCGTTTCCTCCGGGAACAAACCCCTTACCCTTCTCTTTTGTCCTACCATGATGAGATCAAACTTGTCCTTTAGATTCCCAATTTGGCTAACCACTTGCTCGAAATCTTGCACCGCAACCTCACAGTACATGCCGCCTTGGTCAATGCCGACCTTTACCCTGAATGTGTCGATGAGCGCATCATCGATCTCCCTGTCCATAACTTCGTGTGCATCCTTGCCGACTTCACGGAAGACGATCCGAAACACCATGACGCTCGCGTCGGACCGTCCGACCATGCGGATAGCCAGCGCCAATGCCTCGCGGTCATGCGGCCCACCAATGAATACCACGCCGACCTTACAAGAAAATGCCGGTCCTTCACGCATGCAACGGTTCATGCCCTTGTCTATAATTGTCCCAAGCATAATCTCGAATGTTCTCTCCTACATTCCGCAAGGCGATGGCCTCTGAGGCATTTACCATCTCATGGCTACCTTGGAGGGGGATGATGATGAGGGGAATGAGTTTTTCTTGAGCAACCTTGCATATGTACTCGTGCATCCCTTTATATGGTGCGATCACCGTGCAGGGTTCTACTTCTACCAAATGATTTGAGTTGGAATAATTCTCGAAAGCACGCATTATATGGTAGGACCCTCTGGAATTGACTCTTTTCATAAGCTTGTTGTAGGGGGTGATGACCGGTGTCGCGGGTCCGATGAGCTCATTCAGGTGGACGACGTAGGCATATACTGGACTTTGGATGGTTGGGTTTGAGGCTTCAAGAAGAGAAATGATGCCGGGGACTTCTTCTTGATTGTGAACGCAACAAAGAACCCGTAGTTCGACATTCCTTGGGGTTGTTTGAATGGATCTTGCGCATTTTCTGGAAGAAGCACTCAATCTCGAATGAGGATTATAGAAAATGTCGATCAAGGGTGTCACAGCTGCGGTAATCGCCACTGCCGATATCACCATCATCGTATAAGTTTCCGTGTCTATTTCCTGCAGTTCGAAGTAACTCGGTTACAATATACATTAGTTAATGTATGCATGTCTTTGTACAAATGCTATATTCAAGGAAATCGTTAAAGGAGTGTAATTTCCGCCTTTTGTGGATTCTAGAACAAGCCTAATGATATGAAACAAGGTAAAATCCTTAAAATGTTAATGGTCATGCAAGGCGATTCCTTCACTGTTTCAACTCACGATAGGTCGGCTCTACCGCATCAGCAATAGAATGAGCCTTTTCGCCTAACATCGGTTGCATACATGCTCATCCAAGCTAATCAATATCATAATAATTGTGATATGGACCTCACCTTTGTTGCCCTCCATCGATTGAAGAGAAATATGTCAAAAGGACCCCTGATGTTGAGCATGAGGCCAAGTAAGACACTATGACTGAGCCTTATTTTGGAGCATGATGCAGCTAATATAGCTCCAACAAGCTTTGCTAGAGCACCCGTTATCATCAGAAGGATGATTTTCCTCGAATTATTCATATTGATCGAAGCAATATCAACACTATAGCCAACGTCAGCATAGAACATTGGCATAAAAAGTTCCGTGGCAATCAGCTCAATCTTCTCAGTTAAAGTCGATCCTAAAGGGGGTCCATTCGGTATCACCAACCCGAAAAGGATCACCCCGAACTGCAACGAGCCTATCAAGTCCGTTAGACATGCTATCACCAAAGCTCCGACTAAGATAGAAAGGATATAAAGCTCATGCACCGGTTTCCCTTCAGGCTTCTTCCGGATAATCAACCTGATCGCACGTCCTATGACAACAAATATAACCAGCAACGAAGCTGAGACGGCTAAAACTGCCCAAAGCAACTTTAAATTTCCAATAGAGTATGCGCTCATCAACATCCTCATCCACACAAATAATTCGCAGAGCATAGAAGTCGACGTGGCAAGCTGGCCTAGATCAGAAGTCTTGATATTGAGTTCATCAAAAGCATAGACAACATTAGGAAATCGCATTAGGGACAATCCCGCTGCAAAGAGGAATGAGGAGAATCCTTTCTGTATTCCCGGAAGGTTCAAGATATGAACCATCAACGAGATGATGGCGGTGCTCATATTTATGCTGGTAAAGCCGATGAATGAGGCCTTTTTCATCAATCGCTCAATGACTGTTACATCCGTCTTCACTGCCGTTAAGAACAGAATATATATCGTGCCAAGAGCACCTACCGTTCTTACCAAAAGGATTTCTTCGTGTGGGACGGAGTTTTCTGGAAAGATTTTGGTGAGCCGCATGACCTGGGGGCTCGCAACAATGCCGGCCTAAAAAAGCAACGATAAGAGTCATACAGTTTCCCTTAATTGCCAGCCAATTAATGTCTTCTTGCCCATTAGTTGTAATAACTAAAGGAGAAAAGAAAAGCCAGAATACCAAAATTCGATATGTAAATAAGCTTACATACGCACCAGCAAGAAGGTTTCGCAATTAATTTCTTTCTTGTGATGATGACCTATTGTAAACCCACTTAATACTCACTTAGGCTTTCCTCATCTGATACAATTTGTTGTTGGCATAGGAAAGGTAAATCTGTTTCTCTGGCAAACTTTGTCAAAGAAAAGGACCATTTCAGGTTTGAAATATATCTTTCGACTGCAAGTTTCCATGGAGTCGGTGATGAAATAAGTTGGCCTGGCTGATCCTTATATAGTAGTGGTCATTATTTCTAACTAACCAGACATCGTAGTCTATTTCAACCGTACTGCGCTTTTCGAAGATCGTCACATCTCCTCCTCCTGTAGAATTAGAAAATGTTGTAAAACTAACCAGGATGACTGGCTAAGCGCAACTTCAATTGATGATACGTACTGAACTCTTAAAACTCCCGCAAAGCATAAGATTGCCTCTAAAGACCATGTAAATTAAACCCTAAACAGTTTTCAAGTCGTTAAGTGTCGCGAGTACAAGATTTATCCAGATTTTTCCTTAAAGAAAACGAGGGCTTACATGCAGTGACACGGAGGAAATAGCATATGTACATACCAGTATGCTGCAAACGAATTTAGGTTGTCTGAGAGGCTTGAGAAGGAACCGAAGAATCACATAGGCCGTGATGGTGATTATGAACTGCACCATGAACACTGAGTTGTCATAGTCGATAGGATCATTCCCGTGCCAAACACCTCTCGAGTCCCTCGACAACTCAATGCAAAATGTTTGGACCTTTTAGCTTCCTCCGCCAAGCTCCCACGAGAGAGATCAGAACTCGTGGAAACACCATCGCTTCGAAAAGAAAAACCTGCGCCTTTCTGCTTCCTTATGTATCGCGATTCCACGCACCCAAGTGTAACGCAGCCTCAATCAAGCGCCGCGCATCAATACTTTTCGTGGATTTTGATTGCAGGTTGATGCAGCTTGTGTTGTTGCTCATTGAGATACCTCAAGAATGAAATATCAACCATGAGAGAGGGAGGGGGAGAGAGAGCACTGAAAGGTTGATGTTGGAGGGGAAGATAGAGGTGGAGACCTAACCAGCTCGTTGACAGTTAAGGAGATGAAGTTCGTTAAGTTCTTGAACATTACAGGCATGAAAGGGTTATGCTGATGCTTATTGGTTGGCAGTCCAGCTTTGGATTGGGAGGTTAACACCTGATCAATATGGTCTTTAATTAGAAGATTCTGTACGTTGCTGCATCCACTTTCACTTATGAGATAATAACGAAAAAGCACACGTTCTACAAGTAGAAACCAATTTTAAAAAATACGTATTATGTTGTGTATGAATAATGTATAGGACATGTTTCGACCAAAAAAAATGTATAGGACATGCTAGAAAATGTTTAATATTCATTTTTTTTTTACAAAGAAAGGGAAAGCCTTTCATTGCGCCATAATTCTACGTGGTGCACAAACGCGTGAACTAAGAACATGTGAACTAAATCTCGCGGCGGCATATAGCAAAGAAAATTATCAAGAAAGTTCTACAGTTATTGCACTTGTGTCAATTTAATTCTAAAGTTTTCAATTTGACCAATTTCGTCCTAAGCTTTTTGACAATTTGCCAATTAAGTCAATCCAGCCAATTTTAATTGAAAATCGCTAACGTAGACGTTGACCGTCCAAAGTGGCACGATCAGCTCTGACGTGGACAATTTGTATTATTTTTTTAATTTTTAATTTTTTTTTCTTTTTGCTTGTTGTGCCAAAGAGGGTCACCAGCGACCTTTGTCGACCGCAAAGGCCCTAGGCCAAGCCATCGCGGCCTCGCCAACCACAAGCGAGGCGGCCCTCGCCTAGATCTAGCGAGGGTCTTCTCGGCCGATGAGGTCGTCGGTGACCCTCGCCGACACAATGAAGAAACAAAGCAAAGAAAAAAATGAAAAGGAAAGGGAAATATATTCAAAAAAAATTTAAAAAATCAATTTTGGTAACAAAAAGATTCAAGTTTCAATTAGGAAAGTTTTAGAGATTTTAAAAAAAAATCATGAGCAAAGTATTGCATATTCAGTAAAATTTGAAGTACAACCTTATCCCTTTTTTTTAAAATATTGTGCTAATCATAATTCGATTAGCAATAAGAATGGGGCTTTTTCACGAAACTTGTTGGTTAAAAAAACTATCTTCCGGGATTACGCAGCGTTTGCAACTTGCACTACTACATTGACACTTTCTCTTGTAGCTTTAGTATTAAAAAAGTGGCAGAATTGGTGTTAAAGTTTGAGTTTTCTCCTCGAAGTTCATATTCAATAGCAGCCAGCCAATTCAATCTTGGTCATGCTTTGGCCAATCCCGACGCAATATAACATGGTCAAATCCCGACCAAAAAAAGAAAACATGGTCAAATCAAACTTGCCATTCTCGGTCTCATGCGCTCCCCTCCCCCACGAAGAGAACGTCAGTCATGACGTATTCCGCCCACACTTCGAGCTCTTGCAAGCCTAGGGCAGCATGCGCCCCCATCCCGTGCATTGCAGATGGTCGACGTCATGCAAAGGATCGTCGTGACGAGGAGCACTTTATGGATATAGAGAGCAAGCGAATACGGGCTTGAATTTGTCCAAAATTCGACAAAACAGCCTAGCTTTAGTTCTGTTTCTTGGGCATGTCGTGGAGTTTGTCCCGTCCGTAAGGAAATCGCAATTTTGCAATAAAAATAATTGAAAACTGATAAAGAAGAGCCTTTGAGCGTGATTGTCATCTTTTTAGTTGTATTCTAATAGCACGTTTAATCTATCTACTGGTCTCCACCATAATCAAAATGTTGAAATTTTGAAAAATCATATTTTAGCATGTAAATTTGAGAATGCTAGTGATGCAAAACCTCACATGGAATAAAACATGAAAGAAAGCAGGAGCATTGGGCGTTTCGTTCTTCTCTCCCTCGACAAATCCCCTCATTTCTCAAAAACTCTTTCCTCTTTTGAAGCTTTCCTGTAAGCTCTTTAGCTCTAAAACTGAAAGCCTACTTAGTCTTTGGTTTTCTTTTTCTCTATTTTGATTGTCTTTTCTTTTCTCTCCTGATCTATTTTGGGAGTTTTGTGTGTGTGAATAAATTTTTACAACTGATCATGGTGTGGAGATCAATTCGGCTTTTCGTCCGGTCGACAACCACCGCAAAGGGTGTTCGTGACGTGGCTCCACAACCTCTCCGAAATTAGGCCAGTGTCCTTTCTCGATTTAGATTTAGATTTAGATCTAGATATGGAGGTTTTACTCTCCCGACTAGATCTAGATATAGATATGAGAATTCCTTACTAGTATTTAATCTGTGTTCTTTCAACATATTTATATCGGTGTCTCTACACATCAATGGTGATGAGGACATTGAACTTAGACGCACACTGCAAGCCGTTGCAAATGGAATGGGAGATCTCAGCGTATACTCATTACTGAATCTGGTAATTGGTCGCCGAACGTTTACGGTAGCAGATCTGTTCTTGAGGGATAAAAGTATGCTTCTAACTACAAACTGTACTTTGTTATTTGCATGCTGGCCCTCTCGAGCATTATTCTAAGAAATGAATGAAATCTTTCTTTCGACCCAAAAAACAAAAAAAAAACATGAAACAATGGCCTAGTAATGCACCTAGTTCACCCATAATCTTGTAAGCTAAACTTTCGAGAGAATGGTCATTATATTTGATTTGCTTATTAATTAATGAATAAGAATTTTCGGTGATCTTGTCTCTGTATCTAAATATGTTAATAGCTTTATAATGGAAATTAAGAGTCGTGTTGAGATAAAATAGTCTGATTTTTAAAACGCCAAATGTTACGCGACATGACGGTAATAGCCTATAAAAGATTATAAAGCCGCTTTAAATGGCTCTTTAAAGAAGTGTCCTAGGCGCACTTTTGTCAAATAAAATATCGCCACCATCCATTTCCGTACTATTTTATCCATGGAGTGCGATAATTTGCGAAGATATCTCCTCCTTTATATTTTGGGAAAATATCCACCTCGCCTTTTGAGCTTCCCAACCCTAATCGCGCCTTTGCCAGCGGAGACAGCAGTGATCCAGCTGGCAGCCCGTGGCATAACCGTAAATAAGTCGAGCTCACGGGGAGCAGGACGACAGAGAGACGCACACCAAAAAAAAAAAAAAAGTACTTAGGAGGTAAGAAAGCGATGTGTGGCTCGAGTGCTTCCGGAAGCTTCCTCGGCGACGCGTGTAACAACCTTCGGCGATCGAAACGCCACGGACTCGACTCAAATCCCGCCACGTCATCCCATATGTGTGCGCGTCCGGTTTGCGATTATTTATGTCCGATTAAAAACAGGCTCAGAAAAAAAAATAAAAGAAATCCGGAAATATCTAGAGATGCTATAAATATCCGCCGCACCCCACCCCCTTCAACTGGAGACTTCCGCACTGTCATTCAGAATAAAGGAGATTTCTCCAGAACCAGAAAACAACAGTAACCAGAAAACAACTGAGCGTCTCGACCGATACCACCAGAACTCGCCGGAACCCTAGTTCCATTCACGTTCCCGTCGAGAAACAGAGGAGGAAGAAGGAAGAAAGAAGCCGCTCGACCGGAGGCGAAGTTCGATTCCGAGGAGAGGTTTTGATCCGGGAGGGTTTTTGTGCGCGCGCGCGCATGTCGCCGGAGATCATCGAAAGGTTGGTTCGGTTTGCCTTCGTCTTCTGCGTGATTGTTTTTCTCTGTGGTGAACTGAAACTCTCTGTGTTTGTGTGCAAATCTTGAATTCGGGGATGTGTTCGGTGGAAGGGCGCGTGGGGGGGTGCCTGCTGCGATATTCCCTTTCCTTTTTCGGCGTTTTGATGTTTTAGAGGAGGCTGCTGCTTGAAACCTAGTTTTTTGGCTGCTCCGCCGTGTAAATCCCGCTTAGTTTTGTCTTTTACGCTGCTCTTGCTTGCTCGGCAAGCAATGATAAGTTCCGTTGTCATTATCGCTGTTTATTTCCGGATAACCCAGAAAAGGAAATAAGATAATTGCGCTGTTATCGAAACTTGGGGACGAAGGCTTCGAGGGTCTATATGAAGTCATCTCGCCTTGATTTTTTCTGTCTTTGTTTAAGTCTGATTGCTGTATATCATTCGAATAGGTGGAGATGGTTGCTTCGGCTCCAAGTACTAATGTTGTCTCTGTTGCTCTGTCTTCTCCCAGGAAGAGGAAGTCACGGAGCAGAAGGGAAGGGTCTATGTCCGTGGCGGAGACATTAGCGAAATGGAAACAATACAACGACCAGCTTGATTCGCAGACCAATGGAGGCAAGCCTGTGCGTAAGGTGCCCGCTAAGGGGTCGAGAAAGGGATGTATGAAAGGCAAAGGTGGACCCGAGAATACGACCTTCAATTACAGAGGAGTGAGGCAGAGGACTTGGGGCAAATGGGTCGCCGAAATCAGGGAGCCGAACCGAGGGAATAGGTTGTGGCTGGGCACATTCCCGACTGCGATCGAAGCCGCCAAGGCTTATGATGATGCTGCGAGGGCAATGTACGGTCCGTGTGCAAGGTTGAATTTCCCCACCGCATCTCATACCATGTCTTTTGGTGATTCGGCTGTCGCAGCCACGACACCAGTGGGCACTACTGCCAATACGGCTGGTACCCCGAGCACTGGTTATTCAGCTGGTACCCCCCCAAGCACTGGTTATTCGGCGGGCACCCCGAGCGAGACCACGACATCCTCGAGTCAGTCGGAATTGACTTGTGGCCCAGAGGTTAAGGACGGCGATCGCGAGGGCGAGTCGAATGCAGATGGCGGAGAGATGGAGCTGAAGAGCAAATCCAATGTCGATTTCGACTGGCTTAGTGACTATACTGTGGATGAGTTGTTTGATGTGGACGATTTGTTAAGGGCTTTGGAGAATGACCCAAAGTTCTCCACAGATGTCAAGATGGAGCAGTAGAACATTGAGAACACAATAGTTAGTTTTTAGTGGGGGGAGTTGCATATGAAGAGAGTATTAACTTTGTTCTTTCACTGACTGATACTGGATATCTTCTATTAGATCGGGCAATTACGTTTTATAGGAGTGAATTGTCTGGGAGTTTCTGAGTATTGGTTTCGTTTGCTTTCTGTAAGCTGAACTCTGTAATTGCGAACTGTATAGTGGAATACTGAAAAAAAAAAGACTGGATATATTCATTTGTTTCTGGTTGTGACATTGAGCTTCTCCCCTCTTATTCTGAGCTTGTGCCCTTCTGATGTTGTGGCATTTTGTGGATTTACCAGTCTCTCGACTTAGTTATAGAAAACGTAGGATATGATTCTGCATAGGGGAAGTCCTGTTCCAATTATCTGCAATTTAGCCTGTTCCCGATGAGTTTCGGCCGTAGAGCCGTAAATGATACACGCAGGGCTTGATGTGGAACCAAGAATCCGTCGCTAGAGCCCTCCAACCGCTATAGCTACTAACAAATAAATGCGCAGGGCTTTGATGGGCAAACCCAGAATGCAGTCGCCAAACTGCTGCCATAACGTGGCCTGTTCTTTGAGGCGGGCAGGCATCATCCGTCTCCTGCACCTTCGACCGTGCAAGGCAAGCTTTCAGTGCGGGTCCTGGCCTTCTTTTCTCTCTGTTCGGACTTCGAATCGCATTTGGATTGCACTCGCGTGCGGTATTGTTGGAGCAGTGCTAGAGTTGCGCAGTCTGGCATTCTGCTGAGACGAGACGGAACCCATCTGAACAAATTGAATCCCGGTGAAAAGCTCATCCAACTTCGTGTTGAAGTGTGATTCATGCTCTCCATCGACAGGAAGGTATGGGTCATGCTCATTAGGCGGGGTCGCCGGGAGCAGGAGCTCTAGTCACCAAAGGACTTTTATAATTTGGGCTCGTATTTTATAAGTATCTTGGGGTTGGGCCCATTAACAACTATTGCCTATATGCAATTTTTTTCTTTTGTAATTTAAAATTATAGCAGAGAGGTGTAAGGTATTAATTATAATGAAATCTTTTGCTGAATATAGCTCTAGTTTAAAGGTGAATCAGAATTAGTCTTGTGTCTCGATTTTTCCTTTTGATCCTAATGATCCGTTTGGTGCATCTCATGAGAACGTGCCACCGGCACAAGCAACCGCTCAAGAAGCGTGACACTGTTGGGGGGGCTTCGTGTTCTGTGGGCTCAACAAGTAAGGAAAGATTATGGGCTCGGCCCTGTTGCGTACTTGAGGTCGGGGCCCAGAAGCTTCTCGATCGATACGAGATGCAGATGTTGGACTTGATGTCTGAACAACCGCTGGCGCTGCATCATCCTTCTTCATTTCGGTACGGTTCAGCAACTTTTTCCCTAAAGTTGGTCGATGTCAATGCGCTGGGAGCAAAAACCCAAAACCAAAAGATTCACTACGAGAAAACTCGAAACTTGATTGGTCGGGGACAAGCCAATTCTAAAGAGGCCCCGGCTGGCGATTACTAACTCTTCGAATGATCTCATGCATGATGCAATCTACGGAGAATAAAAATTCCTAAGTTGCTAGTGACCCCTTTCATTGGCAGCTTCTGTGGACCAAAACCATTACAATATGTCAAGTTGGATTTTCGCTTTTCACGAAATGGAGGGTGTCGCGACTTAATTATAGCTTTTTGTGGACGCATCGATCATCCCAGAAGTGGTGGTTGCCTCTCGAATCGAGCTGAGGAATCTACATATCTTATAGACAAGCACGAAACTAATCTATGGTTAATTAGACCCGTCAAATGTGTGGGTTTGATAAAAAAAAAATAGTCCGACCTAAATTGACCCATTTCCATGCAATACAAATCTAGCGACTCATATTCAGCATAACCCATAATACTAAAATAATACCAAATTGAAGACCCAAACTGATGTGAGAGCGCGAGATCGAGTGAGGACGAAAGAGAGTGAAGAAAGAGTTATAGATGTAAGTTGGGTCTAAGTAAGTTGTGAACCGATTTAACACTTATATTATTTGGGTTTTACCATTCTCAATCCATTTGTGACTTATTTACTAAATAAAACTAACCTATATAACAACTCAACCCATCAAATATACATGCAATACAAATCTAGCAACTCATATCCAGCCTGACCCATAATACTAAAACAATACCAAATCTAAGATCCAAACTGAGGTGAGAGCACGAGATCGAATGAGGATGAAAAAGAGCGAAGAAAGAGTTATAGATGTAAGTTGGATATAAGTAAGTTGTAAATCGATTTAACACTTATATTATTTTGGGTTTTACTATTCTAGATTCATTTATGACTCATTCACCGAATAAAACTAACCTATATAACAACTCAATCTATCAAATATTGATTAAGAAATGGATTTATGATCCATTTTTGACAGATCTAATTATAGACAAGCCCCACACTAACCTATTGTTAATGCATCTTTTCCCCTCCCCCCATGTCAACAAAGCAAAACCCCTTTCCTCTTACTTGATGCGGGTAAGGCTCGTCTCGGAACATTGGTTGAGAAGGGGGTCAACCCGCCCACTGTATCGCAGTTTCCTCCTCAAATGCCAAAAGAAAATCTCAAGTTGGCTATGGGATTCACTCATGACCCGATGCGTTGTACGTCGATCTTATTGGAAGGGTCATCAAATCTTTTATAAAAGCAGCAAACACCCATTTTTTTAAGTATGAATATCCAAAGCCTTGTCCCCTTTGAGTACGCCAAGTGATGTCGAACGTACAGCTCCGCTTGACAAGAGTCCTTCTACATAATGGGCAAATGGGGCTTTTGAGGAACGAACCCCCGCCGAAGACTCCTCACCTCCTTGTTCATTTATCCCGGAAGAGTATCATCTATGAACATGTGTACCGAATTAATTTCTGAAACTCCTAGCGAAGTAAATCTGTGACATGATCGGTCCTAAGCAGGACCTAAAACTGCTTTATCTAGAGTCTCGTTCGGACCTTGAGATCTCCTAGATGTAAAGCAATTAAAAGGTATATATTCTCTCCGGGATGAAAAAGATACAATAAAGAAATTGGGGAGTACGAGACGCGACTTTTTCATTCTAGACTATTATCATTAGCGATGTAAATATGCGACATGACATAAATTCAAAAAATTGTATCCGTAGGTTTGTACCATATTAGCTAGGGAGCAGGCACAGACTCTTGTATAGCGGCGAATTATTACATAAAATAATGGTATATAATCTTGTTCGGTAGTAGCAGCCGGTTGGGATTTGACCGCAAGGTTTTATGGTAAAGAGGACGTACCTTAAGAGTCTCTTAGCAAAATAGGAGGAAAAAATTAACAATCCCTCTTTAGTGAGGGATGGACTTAGATTTTGGATAGATCAGAGCGGAATTAATTGTACCATGTCGGGGAAAATGACATATTACCCTCCACATTTTTAAGGTCGTTGCAAACTAATTGCTCCCCCGACGTTTCGATTTTTGCAATTTCTCCGGTGAATTATAGAAATCGGTTCCACTGTGTCCCCTGGCATTGACCCCGACCAATTTTCGCGTGGAGCTCCGATCACGTGAAAGCACGCGACTGATTTTGTAGTGCAAATTCATCGTATAAGAATGTACATGTAAAACATAAAAGAATAATTCTAATATACATAGCATGTGAAGATATGGTACTAAAGTTCCGGCAAGAATTAGACCGGACTCAACCCCCAAATGCACATCGATATAAAATTCTGAAACGTACTTTTGATCAGTCCTTATACTTGTGTCTCGTATATACGGATGATATAAACCAATTTGCCTTCCACAGCTAGTCGCGTGGAGTCAAGTGGTCTTTTTATGTACGAAAAATCTGGCTGGAGTCAACACTCGAAGTGCACCGCCACCGGTTTCAAAAGATAAGGGGCAAAACGCAGAAATCGAAACGTCCAGGAGTAACTCGCTACAACCCAAAAAAAAATTAAAAAAAAACTTGTGGGACAAACTATTATTCTCCCCCACGATGTCTTGGCTAGTTGCGCATTATACATGCATTTTTTTTTCCGGATATTGTCGCGGGGGCCGCATGAGAAACAATATTATGTTCGCTGATCAAACATGACCTTTTTCACGAGGAAGTCCTTAATCCGGATGGCACCGCAGATTATTCTAACTGCAAGTTGACCATTTCTTTAATCGACATGTGTGGCATGATTATAAAAAGGCGGGCATTAACAAAAAAAGAAAAAGAAAAAGATCGCAAAACGTACAAAACAAGGTGTCAAAGCAATCCCTTTGCTCCGACCAAAAAAAAAAAAAGGAAATCCCTTTGCCAAGAGGGGGGGCCCAAAAAGGAAACAATAAATCGAAAAATAGAAAATTCACCTAAACTCGGTCTAAAAAGGGGGAAAAAATAAGGGCGAAAATATGTGCAAGTTGACGACCCACTTGCATGTCCGGCCGCGTAAGCTGGGCTGTTCTTTATCGCCCTCCCGTTCCTTTCGTTCAAACACACACCAAAAAGGGCGAAGCTTTCGCCTTTTCTTCGTCTCCGAGAAATTAGCCAAAATCTTAATGCAAGTGGACGGGAAAAAAACAACGCTAAAACACGCAGATGGATCTCTTCCGTCCTTCCTTCGGACATATATATCCGCTTTCATCATTTCATGCTCAGGCCTTTCTCTCACCACCCAGCAAGAACAAGAAGAAGAAGAAGAAGAAGAAGCGCAGAGGTTGGGGAGAGAGATAGAGAGAGAGAGGGAGAGAGAGAGAGATGACGCTCTCCGTGCAGCTGCAACGGATCAACGCCGCCGCCCCCGCCGCCGGCCTCGGCTGCCACAGGCAGGGGCAGCCGGCCGTGCTCGCGGGGGCTCCGCCCCCCGGCGCGGTGCCCGACTACGCGGCCCCGTACCACCGCCGCGCGGTGGGCCCGAACCAGTGCTGCTCCGCGATGGTCCGGTCCATCGACGCGCCGGTGGCCGCGGTGTGGTCGGTGGTGCGGCGGTTCGACGAGCCGCAGGCGTACAAGCACTTCCTGAAAAGCTGCCACGTGATCGACGGGGACGGGCACGTGGGGACGGTGAGGGAGGTGCGCGTCGTGTCCGGGCTGCCCGCCAACTCGAGCAAGGAGAGGCTGGAGATCCTGGACGACGAGCGGCACGTGATGAGCTTCAGCGTGGTGGGCGGGGAGCACCGTCTGGCGAACTACCGGTCCGTGACGACGCTGCACGCGGCGAGGGGAGGGGCGGGGACGACGGTGGTGGAGTCGTACGTGGTGGACGTGCCGACCGGGAACACCAAGGAGGAGACGTGCGTGTTCGTCGACACCATCGTCAACTGCAATCTTCAGTCCTTGGCTCAGATCGCCGAGAACATGGCCCGGAATTTGTGAACCCCGACTCGTTCCGCTGATGAAAAGAAGCGAAGAATTGCCCAGAAACACCAAAAAGAGAAACAGTTTACATCAATCTTTTTATCTCTCTGTGTCTTTATTTCGCCTGATGTCGAGCAGATCTTGAAAAGCCAGCGCTGGGAAGTTCATCATTTCGATCGGCTTCTGTCGTCTCAGAGCACCAACTGGGGAAGATGACGTTGTATATGGGTCATTTTGTTAGGCTCTTTTGTGTTCTTTTCATAGTTTTAACTTTACCATGTTAAAATGTCTCTCTCCTTTCAGAGAGTTTCTAGTAACCTGATGAGCTGCAAATCAGCGCAATTTATTCTTGTTCACTTCTTCCTTCTTTGTGTTCTGTTCATATACGTGAGTACATATGAACTCGTTCTAATCCAAGAACGAGCTTAGGTTGCCGAAGTTGAAGATCATCCGCGCTTCCCCTACCAGCTTGGGGAGAATTGCAGAGTCGTATTCTCATCTCGCCATTTGAATATGTCAACTCTGTCGCTCTCTCTCTCTCTCTCTCTCTCTCTCTCCCCTATTCGCCTTGCACGAAATTCTCATGCGTATATCCCACGCCAGATTTGAAGGATTCATCGGTATGTAGCAGACTACTGTAGCTGTTTTAAACCTTTCGCTCATTTTTCTTACCTTATATCCTCGCGATCCCGACAAATATCTCGCCGCAATCGATCTCTTTCGGATGATGCATATCAGCATCTGGACTTAAGACGATCTACTCCTCTCCAATTGAGAGGATCGCCGGTCTAATTAATAAAGACATACCACGAATCTCATAAACAGTCTGTTCTTTAGCCCGATCTAGAAAGCAAGAGAGGAAAATGGGGTACTCGACTTTTTACCTGACAAGTTCATGCACGGCGGGCTCGCATATATGAATATTCTTCATCGATGCAATAATTTACTAAAAGTTGTCTATGGACGGAATCAACTAACTGCTGCCGCAAGTTGCGAATTTTAATAGGCGCAAACTTATTGTCAGAGCAAGAGTGGACAAATAAAATTCAACAACTTGCTGTACGAAACGACGCAGAGGTGGTTGTTTTCACATCCCCGGTTCTGGTTTCGCGTTCTGCTTTCCTGGTTGTGTCTCGTATGATGCGGTTGGCAAAAGGATGTGGATTGCAAGCTAAGCGTGACATTGCAAGTGGGTCGACCAGGCAAGCAATCTTAATGTTGGTTATGGGTTCTACATGATGAACTCAAAGCTATATGCTTTTCTTTTTCCTCCTTTTCACCCTTTTTGCAGTTCTTGAGGGAGGAAGCATGACCACCTTATCCTCGATACTTTTAAAGCTTGCCATCCTCTCTAGCCAGATCCATTAATGGGTAGCTGGCCGGTATCATGATTTTCCAGATACACGTGAATTGTACTTGATTTCGTGTGCCCACTTGAGAATTTTGTGGAATCGACTTGGGATAATTTCTGATTAGGTCTGGGGTTTAAAAACCGGATGACATCCGTGGCTTATTTTATAGGTACTTATGCGTAAATAACGAGTAGCTTTTCTATAAAAAGGCCACTGACCAACTCAAAAAGACTACTGATTTCATTAATTTCAGCCATAGAATTGCCGCTTCTTCTACGGTTGAGAAGATTTTCATCAAGGATCTGGGAAGGTGAAGGGAGAGCCTAGCAGGATTAGAGAAGATCAATGGGGCCATGATCTATCCCGGCCGGGCTCTAAGATCGGGCCTGCCCATTTCACAAATTTCGTGCATAATTCTCTGACCTTGCCTGGCCGTGAGAATTTATAGGACCCTTTTGGTTCCTGAGACTTAACAATCACAGCATGGACAAAACAAATGTGTTTTTGTATTAATTCAAATCGAAAGATCGTTTCATCTCCAACTATTAGTCACGAAAATTTACTAATTTTGTTCTTGGTTTCCATGCACGCTCTATTTTTCGTTTTATCAAAAGAATCAAAGAAATGTTGCAGCATCCATTTTTACAGGTGTAATTTCGATTGATTAAGGATAAAATAGCTTAGCAAATAAAAGTTCGTTCCAAGTATCTTGAAGGCCAGGCAAGCACCAGTGCACACAGTCTGCATAGCTTACAGGGTTTGCTAGCTGCTCCGGAGTCAGCGGGCTCCATTGCTTCTTGTAAATCATCGTGTGAGCGTCCTTTCGATAGTTCGAGAGCTGAGTTATGTTCAGGAATGTGATGGCCACTTTCGATTTGCTGAACACTTCGCTTATCACCTGCATTATGCTTTTCCGAGAATCCGAGCCCCAGTAGTTTGGATCTTTGATCGGCGTCGTTTGGTTGTAGCAGTTGTCTCCCGGTTCGCCACCCCATTCTTCGCTACTGCAAGAAGTTTCGCGCGTATGTTCAATTAGAACAGATCGATTTGAATTATTTCCAATTAAAAGTTAGAACAGGTCGATTTAGAATTTGTATTTTCAGAGAGAGAGAGAGAGAGAGAGAGAGAGAGAGAGAGAGAGAGAGAGAGAGAGAGAGAGAGAGAGAGACATACTTTCCATGAGTAGGTGACATGCTAGTGAAGAAAACTCTGGTCTTCTTAGGGTCCATATTCTTCTGCACCCATCTCACCAAGCTTTTCATTCCCATTCTATAAGCATCATCGGTGCTCATCACCACAACATCCTTGACCTCATCCTCAAAAGACCCTTTCCTGCAAAAAGGTTTTGATCAGAACTGTTTAAACCAACCTCTAGCCGGCCAATTAGTAACCGTCCACAACCGAGAAGAATCAAAATGATCTTGGTTTTCATAGTGATGATGTGAATTGTGAAGGGATTTACAGGATCTTCACGGTGACCCCGCTCATCCACCAAAGATAGGTGTTGAACACCAGTATGTCCACTCCTTTCCAGTGCCTCCCGTGCTTGTTGATTGAGCCTTTGCGTACAAACCTATCAGTCACCCGGTGGATGACGGCATTGTCTGAGTTCGATTCGAGAAGAAATGGCGCCCAGTAGAACTCGATCGTAGCATTGTAGTCCTGAAGTTTTTCAAAGAGAGAAAATGAGAATTGCCAAGCACACGGACAAGGGATGATCTGTTTTGGTTTAATCGATCGGTCTGCAGGGGAAACACAAATTGAGAAAGTAAAATTCTTGGGTTACCTTGGCAGTGAAGACAGTGAGGGAGTCAAAGGTTTCCATGGACTTGGAACCTTCAGGGATGAGCGAATGGAGGAGGCAGATCATCGAAACATACTGCCCTCGGTTTAGGGAGTCACCCACATACATCATCCTCTTCCCTCTCAACGTCTCTAACATCAACGTTGCATTGAATCTGCACAAGTAATTTGTCGCAAGAAACATTAGAGTTTCCTAATAGGAAAACAATCCAGCAAGTTCTGACTGACCAGATTTAAAAGATTGAGGGGACATAATTAATCGATGGCTCTGCTACATAGTATTGTCATGACTCGTGAGCCAACAGGATTGATCGCCTGTTCGTAGAGTTCGAATACTTCAACGACTGTATTCATGAAATAAACATCGACAGACTAACTTCACTAGACAGTTTATTGCGAATGAACTTGTCCTAAATGTTGCATTGGAAAAAGATAAGAATGAGAACCCGTCCAGTGACTTCCTGTGGCCATGACCAGGTAAAAGTTCCAGGTATCTGGTTTGCTTGACTTTACAGTTCAAAAAAAATTAGCCTGTGGCCGCCAATGATGCAATTTCTCTCTATCAAACCATTCTCCACTAATGACTTTTATATCGCGAAAGTCCTTCGTTTTAGTAGTCAAAAAATTGCGATTACTATCTGCAGAACCCAGAAGCAGGCGACGGAGTCCGCGATCAAGATCGTAGAAGAATAATAATAGATGCGAGCCATCACAATTGATGAGGACATTGTGCTAGACACAGTCAAGATGATTGGATTCCAAGACAGGTGCATTGTGGGGTAAATGGAAAAAACATATTAAAGAAATCAATCTCGTGTCCTAAAAGTCAATGCCACCCTCATTGTCCTGATTCATTTGGTATATCTAACCGCAGAGTTGTTGGAATCATTAGGTAGTGTTTGTTTTCAAAGCTGATGCCATGGCCGGCAGGCCAGACCCGCCGGCGCCCTGGCGTCGGGCAGGCAGCAACTCCCATGGCAAAAACACCACGTACCTTCTGATCTCCCAAAATGGCGAGTCAACTTTCAGATCTCTAATTCATATTTATGGTGGACCTTCCATATTCTCTTTGAGGCGTGAAGTGGGCTTGCCAACTATCTCTATTATGTGGAACTTTTCGAATGTGCCATCACGAGAAGCAAGCTTTCCCACGAAACGACATCAACCCATCCACGGCAGTCAAGAGCTTCTTCAAAGACTCACCGGAAAATCTCGAAACTTTCTTCATCTTATTCCCACGAAGTTAATCTCGTTTGACGATTCAAAAGGAAAATGAGATAGCTACAGTGTTTCCCAGATTAAGACAACCCCATGTTGACCACCTTACCATTTCAGAGGTTGAAGCAACAGGGAAGAGGAAGAAGAAGAAACAGAGAACTAGAAGTAAAAGACGAAACGAAAAGTCACCGACACGCATTAAGAAAAAGTTGAAAATATTGATAGAACATAAAGAAGAAAATGGAACCTGGGCAGAGAACAGGAATGAGGTTGCCAGCGCCAGTTCCTGTAGTCCTTGTCCGGCCTGCCGTGCTCTTGACACGTCAGCTGCGGCTGGATGTACGGGCACTCCGACTCCTCGTAACTCGGCCGAGCCGACTCGTCCCTCACCCACCTCCCGCTGAACACGTCGCACCCTTCCTCCCCCCTCCCTATCGCGAAGGGAATAACCGGCTCGCCACCGCTGGCGCCGCTCTTCCGCTGTTCTGACGATCGAAGAACGCCGTCAACGGCCGCCTCATAGATAGTGCCGCCGGCGGGGCGCGCGCCCCGCGTTTCGGAATCCGTCTTCTCTACGTTAGATGAGGAGATGGAGGGACGAGTCAACTCACCGGTTCGCGGCCCGGGCCGAGGCGAGGTCGGGCGGAGTTGGCGCTGTTGACCGAAGATGCAGACCAGGTCCTCGCCGTAGAGGATGGAGACGAAGACGATGAACGATAGCAGGGCGAAGAGGTAAGGCGAGAGACGCGTCTTTCTCAGAGAAGAAGAAAGCGACGACGACGACGCCGGAGAAGAAGAAGAAGAGAGAGGTGTTTTCATTTTGGTGGGTGGGGTGATGCCTTCTGCCTCTGTTTGGAGGGCGCTGATGAGTTTTATTTGAGGCTGATGGGTTTCTTAGGAATCTGTAAATGTGGCTTTTGATATGTAAATGATTCATAGGGAATGATATCTAGAGAGAAATGCCCTTTTTTACCGTAGTGTAATCGAGTTCTAAAACTTTTAAAAAGTTTAACTAAGTCGATTGATTCTGATTTAGAAAAAACAAATACGATTGAGTCATAAAAATTTCAAAGAGTATAATCAAGTCCTAAAACTTGTCGAATTGATCCAATCAAGTCCTTCCGTTGATTGTACTTTTTAAAATTTTTAAGACTCGATCACACTTTCGTAATAAGTTTTAGGACTTGATTGCACTTTTTGAAAATTTTAGGACCCGATTGCACTTTCGTGACAAATTTCGGAACTTGATTATACTTTTTGAAAATTCTGAAACTCAATTGTACTTTCATGACAAGTTTTAAGATTTTCAATGCACTTATTCCTAATATATATTTAAGACTTTAAATTTATAAAAAAGAATAAATAGAATGTCAACGGGAAAAAAATGTGGAAATTGATGTGTGATATAAGTTTCTAACCGTCTGATCGGTTATCTTTGTTTGATCATCATGATCAAGATGTGGTAAAGTGTCCCTTCCCTTTAGTTATAAAATCATGTGAATATAACAATATCATTGTCAACAACATTAACCCATATATTTCTGAAAATGATTGCAACGTATCACAAATTTGATCTCACATAATAGACATAATCTCTCGATTTTAGGTCAAAGTTTTAAAAATCCATATAATTTTTCAATGATTTATTTCTTGGGAAAAAACCACCAAAAACCCCAAACTTTGCCATCTGTGACACATTTACCCCGAACTTTTTTTTGTGACACCAAAAACCCCGAACTTTGCTTTTTGTGACACATTTACCCCAATGTATTTAGTCCATGGGCATTTTCGTCTTTTTTGTTTTTCCTTTTTTTTTTCTTTTTTTTTCCTCTCCGGCGAGGGGCGGCCTCGCCGGCGTCCGGCGAGGGCTGCCCTCGCCGGATCCGGCGAGGGGGCCCTCGCCGACGCCGAGCGAGGGCGGCCCTCGCCGCCGGCGAGGCGGCCCTCGCCGGCGCCGGCGAGGTTCGCCCTCGCCCGGGTCGAGCGAGGGCGGCCCTCGCTCGCCGTGCGAGGGCGACCCTCGCCGGCGTTGGGCGAGGTCCGCCCTCGCTCGCCCAAGCGAGGGCGACCCTCGCCGGCGTCGGGCGAGGGTCGCCTCGCCCGGGCGAGCGAGGGCGGCCCCGCCCGATCTGGCGAGGTCGACCCTCGCCGGCGTCGGGCGAGGGTCGCCTCGCCCGGGCGAGCGAGGCGGCCCTCGCCGACGCCGGCGAGGGCGGCCCTCGCGGATCGGCGAGAGCGACCCTCGCCGACGTCGAGCGAGGGTCGCCCTCGCTCGATCTCGGCGAGGGCCGCCTCGCCGGATCTGGCGAGGGCCACCCTCGCTCGACGCCGGCGAGGGTCGACCTCGCCGATCGGGCGAGGGCCGCCCTCGCTCGCCACGAGGGCGGACCTCGCCGACGCCGGCGAGGGACGCCTCGCTCGGGCGAGCGAGGGCCGCCTCGCCTGAGCCGGGCGAGGGCCGCCCTCGCTCGCCCGTGCGAGGGCGAACCTCGCCCGACGCCGGCGAGGGCCGCCCTCGCTCGACACCGGCGAGGGCAGCCCTCGCCGGACGCCGGCGAGGCCCCCCTCGCCGGAAAGGAAAAAAAAAGAAAAAAAAAAGAAAAAGCAAAAAAGACTAAAATGCCCATGGACTAAATACATTGGGGTAAATGTGTCACAAAAAGCAAAGTTCGGGGTTTTTGGTGTCGCAAAAAAAAGTTCGGGGTAAATGTGTCACAGATGGCAAAGTTTGGGATTTTTGGTGGCTTTTTCCCTTATTTCTTTCATTTGTATCAATTTCCTTCGTACCTTTGAAAAAGAAAATATTATAACATCACATGTTATGAAGAGTCCACCAACATTTTCAAAGCCACATTTGTTATTCGGCTTTTTTTTTCGATCTCGTGGTGGCTGCCAACTAGATCAACTTATAAGATCAAATACACAAAAGATCACTCTTTTATGTAATTTTACACAAAGAGTATATCATTTAGAAGTTGAATCTTAAGTCTCATACTTCTTGATGTTTATATGTGCATTACATAATAAACTCGATTGAACATGTTACATAATAAACTCGATCTCGTGGCGGCTGCCAACTGGGTCAACTTATAAGATCAAATATGCAAAAGATCACTCTTTTATGTAAGTTTATACAAAGAGTATATCATTTAGAAGTTGAATCTTAAGTCTCATACTTCTTGATGTTTATATGTGCATTATATAATAAACTCGATTGAAGATGCTACTGATTTTTTAATTTGTGCGACCATTATTAAGGAGCACAATGATGCCACATTGTGGATTTGAAAAACTTCATCAATGGACCTTCCTCATACCAAGGTCGTCGAGAATATCAAATTCTTTTATTACCATATTCTTGACACCATCTCCGTATTTCCATTTTTAAATTGTTCACGTACTAATTAATGCACATTCCACGTGATGTGCACAACATGTTGTCTGTCCTTTTTTAAACCTTATGTTCGAAATTTGTTAATTGTGATTCTGTAAAATTAACACTTCGTCTTGGAAAAATGGAAAATAGCTTAGCCTAGTGTATGCAAAGGTTCGTGACACTAGAGTTACGTTTGTTTTGCGAAAAATGTGACATTTTTAGAAATATTTTTTCGGAAGTCCATTTTCCAGGAAAATGATTTTTCAGTGTTTGGCTGAAAATTTAAAATGAACTAGGATTTATTTTCCATCGTTTAGTATAGAAAATCTGATTTGATTTTTCTAAATAGACATATACTGTCCGGGCATTAGTAACTTGCACATGAGCAGTAGAGGATTCGAGGACCGGCACTAGATCCCAAGTCCAGCCTCAATGGACCCCGACCCAGGCACTTGGTCCAAGGTACAACCTTTGTTGACGTAGGTCCAGGTCTTGGGAATCAAAGTTCGGGTACCGAGATCCGGTGCTCGACCTTTGTGGACCTAGGCTCGAGTGCCAAGGCATCGGGCATGGGCACCGGGACTCTAGGCCTGGCCTCAATGGACCCGGACACTGGTGTCAAGAGCCTTGGGCATGGGCACCAGAGTCCCGGGCTCAGTCTCAATGGACCTAGGCACGGACGTCGAAGATCCAGGCATGGGAACCGGAGTCCCAAGCCCGGCCTTGATAGACCTGAGTCCAAGTGCCGGAGATCTAGTCCTACGTCAGAGACGCGGGAACTAACGTTGGGATTTTCATGCTCAAGCGCAGAGTTTCGGATCAAAGTATCAATACCTAGTCGTATTTTGAAAAATAACCCCCGATATTTTAAAGAGGAAATTATTTTCCTTAATTGAAGTATAGGTTTTCCGTTGATTTCATTTTTCTAAGCAAATCAAACATCGGAAAATTAAGAAACTATTTTTAACGAAACAAACAGAGCCTAAGGTAAAACTCGGTAAAAGAAAGAGTTATTTAATTTGACATGACCATTCACGAGCGATTCAAAAGCTGGCGAAGCTCGTGCACAATTTGCAAAACATCGATGCTAGACGTTGGAAGAATTACCTTGAAGAAATCAATAATCACGTGGCGCCACAAACTAATGTCTAATCTCGAGGCCAAATATGTATACAATGATTAAATAATATACCTTAGATAGTAAAAGGGGTTATCTTCGCTTTTTCGGGTAAATTTATTTGCAAGTACTATAGATGTAGCATCTTTTTCACCCAAAGAATGATTATTACTAGGAGAAAAGCAGGAACGACTTATGTTTTGCAAGCGTGACGTTCATGGAGATCGATGCCGCATCCGAAGCTTAATGGAGTTGATGAGTTCATTTGCTGTTGAGGCACATCAAAGTACAAAATGTACTTCTAACAACCTTTGATTGCATCTATCTAAAAACGGGTGATATCTTAACAAAACTATCGCTTACATTAGGCAAATGCGTTCACTTCAAATGCAAGCCACGCTCATTTTTTTCGCAAACAAAGCTTTATTTGATGTATATGAACAGGACGGACGGCCCGGATAATTTTCGTGCATATGTAAAGACCGATCGATCACGTTATAGAAATAGAGAAGTGGAACGAAATAAAAATGATATTATAGATCGAGGGTTGAATCCGGTCCAGATGATTTCCTCTTCTTTTTCTTTCTTTTTGTATTGTGGAGGGTGCGAAGTGGGCGAGACATGATGTGGCTTGACTTCAAATGCAAGGTTTGCCTCTGCAGAAATAGAATTAAAAAACAATGCGCGTCCTTGTCACTTCTACTAGGCGAAAGAACTCAATCATCTATCGGAGGAAGGAAATGGAAACGGAAACGACAGGAGAGACAAGACAGAGAGGAGAGAGGGCAAGTGGGGACTTTTTTTCTTTTCATGTTTTGGGGGTTTTAGGTAAAATGATTACCCAAACATTAGGTGGCATTTCAGCTTCAGTTGGTGGCAATATTCACCTACTTGCTTATTCTCGATTCCTCACCAGTTGGGGGGAGCTTCTTATGCTAGAATAGATAGGCTGGCAATCAGAAACATAATATTAAATGGAAGCATGTGATGTATCGAACCTCATATGCACATTAACATGCACCTGCATCTGAAAGAACGCTGCGGCCGTACTATGTTCTTCAGTAAAGATCTCGGTGTGAGGTGAATTGTGTTATTAGGTGATAAAAAGGGAGGAGTTGTGGAGCGACTAGATTTGGTTTTTGTTCTGATCAGATTTGTCTGTCGTAAGCGTGATGGAGAAGCTGGAAAGCTTCGAAAAGATGTTTGAAAAAATCACCATCTCGATAGAACGAGCACATGTCAGCTGCAGCTCCATTTCATTTGATCTTTTACTTGCTGAAGCGAAGGGGCATTGTCCTTTTCTTGCTTTCTTCTAGTTCCCGTTAAAGATACAGATTTTCATTGCCTCCAGCCCCAGGACACCCGCTGAAGTTTTTTCATCTTAATTGAGCAGAAAGAAAGGTGATGCAGTGCAGGTACTTCTAAGTAGGAGACACAGAAAACTCTTTTGATGACCTGATTTCAGGCAGACTAGGCTACGTTTTCCTTTCTTCTGTCCTTCCTTATGTTCTCCGAGGGCCAAGCTGTCATCAATGCAGCACAATTTCTAATATTTCCTTTTGGCCAAACAATAAATCAAACATCATGCGGTACAGACTCCAACCTCTAACCTTCGGCTGGTAAGTCGTGAAATAAGCCAACCCTACGGTCACGATTCTAGGATGCTTCACATGGCAATTTTATTATTTCCTGTATCACACGTGAAAGGATGTCAACAGCTGGATTTAAACGGTTTCTACTTTCTAGACTATCTTGTATTAAGGCTGGGGCGTATTCCTTCTGTTATCCCACCAACATCCGTGCTTGAGCGTCAGATTAAAGTTAAATTACCGTGCTGTGCTCTTACGCAAAACAAACAAACAGAAAAGAGACTAAATGACCTCATCTCAGCATGCTTTCAAACTTGCAATAAACAAGAACACCCGCGTTGTTGCAAGATCCGTTAACTTTTGCGTTATGTCACAACATCATCTGATGCATTTCGCCCGTGCGTTGCACCGACATGTCCAGCTATTGTTTCTCCTTGTGTGTCACTTATCATGATGCTTACATGGAATTAGTTCACCACATGTCATGCTATTTGGAAAGAAGCAATGGTGCAAATCTGGTTAAGAGCATTGAATGCTAAATGGCTGCTGCTAGTTTGTTTTTGTTTAAATGATTTCAAGTTACTAAGTTAGATTTAATGTTTGCAAAGTTCCTAGGCATTAAATAAAGTTGTTAGAAGCTTGTTGGACTCTTATGTAAGCCCTCTAGGGCGTCACTTGGAGGGGCACTACTTTTTGAATGACAATTGAGGATTTTCTCCTGCATTTCTATTGCCTATTTTGAGGTTTCTGTATCACTTAGTGGATTCTAAGTGTGGTGAGCCTACTGAGCATCTGTATCCTTGTTTGGTGGTGGTTCGTCCTGTATCCAAACTTGGTGGTGAGCTCGTCCAATCTATTCTGTCTTATTCGCACAATAAAACCTTCCCTTCTCCAATTTAACCAAATTCGTTTTCATCATCATCCTTACAAACTAACCAAAAATTAATTGAATATAGTGAGAAACTGACTAAAGAACCTCCAGAACACCGGCATCAACCGTCGAAAGCTCCTGATGAACTTTGTAATTTCCAAATTTTGTCCTTCTCCTAAATGAACTTTGGATGCACATTACGTGACACAGTACAAGAGTCAATTGAGGAATCAATTGAGCCCACTGATAATTTCTTAAAAGAGAAGAAAATTTTAAACAAAGAGGTTTGCTTCTTTACTTGGCAAACGTAAAATGAACTTAATTTACGAAAAACAGTAGAAGAAAGTAATCGTGATGGGAACCAAAAAGAAAATATCCTCAACAATCGAGAATTTGGAGCTTTCAAAAAATGCAATAACAGAGAGAGAGAGAGAGAGAGTCAGTCCTGCCACGTCGTTGTATTTAGGTGGTATTGATCCCAAAATCGAATCTTGAATGTCAGATTCTCAATCGGAAGACTGCATCTCATCTTTAAAATGTGCATTTCCATAAGAAGCAGCCGGAGATTATTGCCCAATGAATCTTGAATGGAAACTAATTGCTTAAAAGCCAACAGAAGTATAGGAGCCTTGGTGACCTTGAGAAGGCCCTCGAAATTTTTGCACTAGAGACATAACTAAACCCTGCAAACAATAAAGCTGAAAGTAAGTATACGCCAACTGGTACAAAGAATCACAAATGATGAAAATGCACATAGTCTGCCAAATGGCTTGCTGGTGCAGCACAGACTTCCACAAAGTCGCAGGGAGACATATTATGAGCTCAATTCTCTTGTACAGAATTTTTCTACATACAACATGTGCTGGAAATTAGCAAGGTAGAACTTAGACCAACTGTCATATGCTCAATCGAGAGTCGCAAAATGGGTCCTGCATTCGTACAATAAGGCAAGTTCACTGTTTTCTTCGCTGTGCACACATTGTTTTGGTCATCAATGAATACTTATGTGATTGATCTAAACAATATTTCCAACAGACACAGATGGCTAAAATTTTGCTATTCGTGCAGATCTCATCTGTTCGACAACAGAAATTTTCAAAAGCACGTGAGTTGGACATCAAGAATGAAGAACTTCCATCTGTTCTTCCAATTGGAGGACTGGTAATGAGATCTTGACGAACCAATATCCTTGAGAGAGATACACGTTGACATAACATATCCTGAAGTTGTAGTCCACCTGCGCATGTATAAGCCTACATCCTGCCCTAAGTCAAATTACTGCTGGTGTGAACTTGGTATTATTTTCGCAACAGAACTTTTTAAAGATCTAGTTCTCTTCATTTTCTGTGTTCACATAAGTAAAGTCCAGTACAATTAAGCAAAGGGAGAAAAAGATTCACAACCAAAGCATAGCTGACTAACATTCTAATTTATCCTGTTGTGTAGCACATGACCATTTCAACACAAGTAACATCACACATGGATAGGGTACCTGTGTTCTATGTGGCAAGCTAGCCCAAAACTCTAAGTTTGGAATTGCCTGAAAAAGTAGTGGGAAAAACACCCATAATGTCAGATTACCAGCAAATCATGCAGCAGCACCATCAGAAGAATTTGTAAATAGCACATATAATAACAGAAGGAACACGTATGCCTTTTTGTCAAAGCATATAGAGGTCCCAATTGAATCATTGACCTTTGGATTTTAAGAGAGGACATTATCCAAAAAAGATTAGAAAGGATTTGCAATCTAAACAGTAAGGCAAGACAATTCAGAAAAAAGTTAGCAGGTATCATGAAGTTCACAGATTTACTTAACAGAAGGTGATGCAACAAAATGAAAGATTTGAACAAAGAAAAGGAACTTAAAAAATCACCCATATTAGCAGGTACAAGAACGAGCTGCATAACAAACAACTAAAATGCTACACATAGTACCCATGCAAGAGAATTTTTTTGTCTTACTTGTAGGAGAACAAGAACCACTCAGCTCACATTAGTGAAGAATATCAGGTAAGCCGTGTGAGGATTAGGATGATAATACCTTTAGACGTAAGCGTGTCCTACATTACTGTACTACAAGTGAAATTCTGAAAAACAAGGCATTTAGTGGAGAAAGAAAAGTAACGACTGAGTTGGAAACATACATCTATACCACGAACTCCAAGCATAAAGTATCTATACACTGCACCAGCAAGTAGATACCCTCCAAAGAGACACATGCTTCTGTAATTCAGATAAACACGTTCAGAAAAACAAGACAGAATTGTCAGAGTTTAAAATTACTTAGACAATATATGTTTTGCAAAAATCTAAAGGACTTAAGAAGGAAATAAGAATCTCACATTATTAGGAGGATACCAAACCAACCCCATCCACGTCCATGCACGTAGATTATTTTAGCACAGCCAGAAGGATGCCTCAACGATGTAGCCTGAAATTATGACATAAGAAATGCTACTCCAGATTCCCCCAACCAAATCGATGCATCTAATAAACCTTCACCATCACCTTTTTTTAACAGTCACATAAGCAGAATAAAACAGGCATCTTTAGCTGATCTTCAATTAATGTGATTATTCCTAACTTCCGGTATCATTAAACTTCAGCATATATTGATTGACTCTTCGCATCTCTAGCTAATACTGCACCAATGATCCCGCTATTTGATCATGACTTCACTATTATAGTTTCTGTCAATGCTCTGGATAAAGAAGAAACTATTAAAACCCACTTGATGCCTCCCAGGTAGAACTATGTTGTTGGTGATGATAAAGAACCAGAAAACAGTCTCATCCTCTGAGCATTGTGTTTATTATGGAAACCAGAAAGAACTCCAGGGCCATGAAGAGAAGAAAAAGGACAAATGCTCATGTCATTTTGCTAGGATCATGCATACATCCTCTCGTTCCAAGTCCTACAAACACATTGTTAACTGCCGGAGAATAAATAAAAGACTTCCAGTTTGTCAGAGCACTCACATAGTCACAAGTCCCATATTTCTCCAGTAAATTTGGTCCCTGTTGGAGTCACCCAAATCAAAATCTCATATAACAAAGAAAAAACAACATAGAAGGAAATATACAATCATGTTATGATATCTGAGCAACCAAATAGGTTATGGAAAAAAAATTACAGTCAGATTCTTACTTGAACTCTACTTGGATCACATATGATGGATACAGAAAGTGAACAATTAGACTTGCCACCATTACTCATCATCTTGACAGTGACACCACTGTGCGGTTTCTTCTGATCTACGAGAGTCAAGATAAAAAGAACATGAATTGATATCTCAAACAAATATTAAAGTTGCCACACACAGAAAGTAGCCAAATCATAATTTTTTCCTACAGCTGCTTTAATACACATAAGCATGTATTAGATACAAATATTTCCAACCGTGCAAACATACACAGGGACGGATTGAGAGGGGGGCCAGAAGGGGCCATGGCCGCCCCAAGCATGTCTAATATGCCCAGAAGTTCAAGAAGATTAGGCCCAATATCCACCAGACCAGAATGGCCGGTTCGACTGGGTACCGGATGGTCGTTTGGTCCAGATTGAAAATTATATAATATCAAAAATTATTTATCAAATAAGAGATAGTTATCTCACCTATGACGTCAACATGAGTGCTAGTTGCACGCCCAATTGTAATACATACTGGGTAGCCTGCATTTGTAAGTACCATACAAATTTTTATGCTATGAGACACTGTAACTAATATTCAGAATATTACAGAACATCTTTAACAGCCACACATATGGAAAATTTCTCCTGCTCCCTCGTGAAGCAATGAATTTCAGACCAACTGAATGCTACAATTGATGGAATCCATTGCAATCATAAGCCATAGTAGAAACAATTTACAAGCTAATCAACAGGAGGAAAGGAAGCTGCTCTCTATGTCCAACTAAAAAGTAATATGGAAGGTAGCGGCACATACAAAACTAACGAGACATTAGGACTGTAGAAAAACTATCTTTACCGGAGGCTCGATTAATTCCTTTAGAGCCAGTGATAGGAAGAAATTTGCGCAGCCACGACATATTGTAAATATTAATCCGTTATACAACAAGAACAGCAATCCCCAGTCCAATCAATAAAGCTACCAAGGTCTCATTGTATAAAAGATGGATGCACCAGAAAGCGGCAGATTTCTTACCTTCAACATCATCTGTCACAAGAGCACTACACTCCATGCCGCAGCGTGACGGACCTCCGCAATCCTGTAACACAAGTGCTGCAATTAAGCTACAAGAGAATTCAGGAAATCCTATAAATAGATATAAGTCCAAGGAGAATTTCCTAAACAAAGAACTTGAGAAGTCACCGAGCAGTCAACGCATCTGGGTGGGTCATGATTGAATATCATAGCGCCGCAGAGCTGCTCAAGAGAATAGACGTTCAGAGCAACATCAGTGAATCAGCTAGAACTCGTGTAAATTACCAACAATCTACTCTAAAGGCTCTTGAGACCTGTATCTTGGACAGAGAGATATACGGGTCCCTATGGTGGAGTTTACATGCATCAAAGTGCAAAAAACTGAAGTCTCACATGGAGCATTTTTATGGAAAATAAAGAAACAAAATGTGACCTGTTGGAGACAACCTGAAACCAGAGCACAGTATCATCTGCCGCCACTTTGTAAAACCTGCGCCACATATACAGAAGAATTGTGATGGTTCTTAAGAGCCAAATTAATGTGATTGATGTCCGTTTATACAATTATACAGGCATAAAAAATTGAAAGGCTCCGAGTTACTTGTCGCATTTGAACACATGATAAACTGCGTACACACCAAGATTTGTTCAAACACAGTTGATGATGACCTAACTTAGGATATGTCTACCAGCTAATTGAGATTAACACCTACCAGAGCTCAGCTCATGATAGCGACCTATATCACAACTCATTAGATTACCTTTAAATGCCACAAGCGCGTCAATTCCAGCTTAAATTGGCCAACAAGTGGCCCACCTGAGTAAATTGCGAATCCGACACAATGAACTGGCAGATCTAACGCGATGCTCTCAGAGAGAAATCTACGACATCTCTGCCCAAACAGCCGCAGTATCACGACAGCACACTAAAAACGCGTTGCGATCACAAAAAGAACTTCAATCAATACCGACGGTACGCTAAAACTACGCTAAACACGTTGCGATCGCGACGCTCACAGGCGTTCGCCCGTACGTAAGCTGAATATCCGATCAACAACGAGACGAGCTACCTACTATCCATCCGCATACACTACGCCGAGTCTAAGCTCGCCGAAGCTGGAGAAGGCGAGTTAAGAGACACGTTACCCGTCCTCGCTGAGCACGCCGTGCGGGAACTTAGGGATGGGAGAGGCCAGGCTATAGTTGTAGAGCCTGTCGCGGTCGGCGAAGCTGAGCTCGCACGCCGCGGATGCCGAGCTCGCCGCCGCCGGCGGGGCGCAGCTCAGGATCGCCGGGAGAAGGAGCAGCCGTCCCAGCGAGCCGCGGCGGATCATCTCGATTTTCCGGATGGAGCTCAGCCGTTGGATTCCCTCATGGAACGCGTCGAAGGCGGAGTTGCAGAGGATCGAGAGGAAACCCTGAGCTGGAGACTCTTGAGGTGGCACGGAGGGAGAAGAAGGGGACGAAGGGGACGACGACAGGGCGAGTGTGTCCAAAGTGAAGGGGGGAAAAACCCGAGAACATTCGCTCGATTTTTCCACGATATTTTAATGATCACGAGACGATCCGTTAGTTTTTTTTTTTTTTTTTGCTTCTAATCTTTTGATAATGAAGTGAAAAGTGCAGAATTATTTATTAAATCGGGGAAAAGAAAATAATAATGGACGTGATTACAATTGACTTGAAGTCAAGCGAATGTGGGACCATCAATCAATCGTCACGGTCCACGAACGCGTGCTAGAAGTTCGACGTGATCTTTTTTTTATTACTTTTCAAATTTGATCACCGAATTTTGGGAATTCCGCTCGATCTAGTTGGCATTAAATGCGCTCCGGCTCGATAGTGGCCCGCCGACAAGCTGCCATCCCCCGCCGGGACTCGCCGCGAGAAGCTGTCATGGCCGCCTCTTTTTCGCTACCGGTCATCGTCTCCCACCACGAGAAGCCCAGGCCAGCCATCACGGCTGCTGATGTGGCCCTCTCATCATGCTTTACCTCGCGCTCTCTCTCTCTCTCCTCAAATGTGAGCCAAGGTGTCGTGACCTCAAATCAAGTCGCGCATACTCTAAGGCCTCGATGACCTCGAATTTGAGGTGCGCATCCTCAAGTCCAAGGCACGAAATCTTAGGTTTGAGGTGACATGGCCTCGCACTTGAGAAAGAGAGAGAGAGAGTGGTGATAATGATGGTGAACACAACATTTACTCTTGCGTGTTTCAGCTGTGGCGAAGCTAATTCATCCTTTAGGTAATGGCGGCCACTGAGTTTTCAAGTTGCGGTGATGGTCAAGTTGGTGGCATTGTTCGAGAGCGATCGTAAAGGATTGTAGCTGGGTGTGGTCAAGTCGTGAGTGTGTTGGAAACATATCACATAGAAGCCATGTAGGCGCCAAAATATACAAATGGATTACACGGCATTAATTTTCACATCACCTAGTGCAATTATTATTTTGACAGAAGGATTTGATTGGATCAAATTTTGAAAATTTAGGAACTCTATTGAATATTAAATAAAACTTCATTGACTTATTCATGTCATTATCTTTATATATAAAATTACGGGAGTATATCATTGTGTTTTTTTCGAAAAAAAATTGATGGTCAACTTTTCTTTGTCAAGCAAAATTAGGGTCACACTCATATTTTCTGTTCAAGTATACAAAAAATTTGACCCCCGAATAGTAATGTAGGAAATTCTATCACTGCTATAAAATGAAACCTGTCAAAATGGACCCATTTCTTAATTCATACTCGATTGACTGATTTGTTATATGGTTTCGTTATATCCAGAAATGAATTTAAAATAGTAAAATTCATAATAATATGAATATTAAATAGGTTCACAACTTATTAGAATCAACTCACGGTTTAATACGTTGGTTAGTTTGTAAATTTTGAAAAATTCCACATTAACCCTCTAAAATTTCAATGAATTGGCAACGATTTGCTTTTCTATCTGCATAGTTATTAATTGTTAATTGATAATGAACCATCTCATTTTTCTTGACTTTGTAATAGATCAATGAAGTCAAGGGAGTAATACGTAATATTCCAAACTTTAGGACACTCTCGTGCAACGGCACCAAAGTTCATGGGGATTTTGACCGTTAAGCCCATGAACTTGATCGAGGCCCGGCCCAAGGGCATGAACGTAAATGTCGAATGACGCCGCGGCAATTTTCGTAATTTTGAGGTAAATCGAAGTCCTTAACCGCAAAAAAAAAAGCGGAACTAAGAAGCCCGAGCCAAAAAACCCTGAGACGAAGCAGAACGGCGGAGCAGCACCGCAACGGAAGCCGTGAAATGGACGACGAACCCCGCGACGGCAGCCGCAACCGCGCTCTGACCGCCACGCGCTTCTCCGACCTCGAGCCGCCCCTCTCCGAACCGGTCCTCGAGGCTCTGAGCCTGTCCGGCTTCGAGTTCTGCACGCCGGTGCAGGCCGCCACGATCCCCCTGCTGTGCAGCTTCAAGGACGTCGCCGTCGACGCCGCCACCGGCTCCGGAAAGACCCTGGCGTTCGTCGTCCCTCTCGTGGAAATCCTCCGCCGTTCCTCGCCCGCGCCTCCCAAGCGCCACCAGGTTCGGCCGCCGCTCGTTTGAATGGTTTCACCGCGCGTTGCCTGTGAGGAAACGAGTGAATCGGATTTTTCTGAGAAGTTCGAGGTGTTGTGGCGCTGGCTCGAGACCGTCGCCATGCGAACTGTAGTGATGTTTATCGTGTGAGGAGGTCGGGATGAATTGTCCATAGAATATCTGCAAAATCGTAATTACTGGACAGGCACTGTTGTGCGGATGGTGGTGATTCACCGTGAATTTACAGCAATACACCAACACTAGTTCCTTATCAGTGCTTGTTTTTGGGAAACCCCTGCATAGCATACAATGTGTACGGGGGCGTGTATTGTCTATTGCGTGGAGTTCCGTCTTGGAGTCTTCATGCAATGGCTGTTTAGTTTGTCCAAAGGCAAAATGCATTGCTCAAATAGGTTTGATTTGGATCATGGTTTGCACTGGTTTGCTGCCTAAAGTGATGCTCCCAAGGGGTTGCTCTTGTGAATATCTAGTGGATTTTCAATAGTTGGCTAGCAGCTTTAGTTTCAAGTCTGATTTGTTCATTAAAAATTGGTATGCTTGTAGGTATTGGGGATAATTATTTCACCTACCAGGGAACTGTCGTCACAAATCTACCATGTCGCGCAACCTTTCATTTCTACACTGTCAAGTATCAAGTCCTTGCTTTTAGTCGGAGGAGTTGAGGTTAAAGCAGACATGAAGAAAATAGAGGAGGAAGGAGCGAACTTGCTGATAGGTACACCTGGGAGGCTGTATGACATTATGGATCGAATGGATATCTTGGATTTTAAGAATCTTGAGGTATGTATGCATGCATCGTCTGGTGTTACTTTTGTGCCGTTCAATTATGATAAGCTTGTCAAAAGAAAGGGCTGTCATGTATACCGCACTGCACAGAGATTATTTACTACAGCTTCTTGGTACATCTTGTTGGTTGTACCAGATTCTAATTTTGGATGAGGCAGATAGGCTCCTGGATATGGGATTCCAAAAGCAGATAACTTCTGTTGTATCTCGCTTACCCAAACTTCGTAGAACTGGCCTTTTTTCTGCTACTCAAACTGAGGCAGTTGAGGAGCTGGCTAAAGCTGGTTTGCGGAACCCGGTGAGGGTCGAAGTTCGGGCAGAAACAAAACAACAGGATGATTCAGCATCATCACGGGATGCAGGCCCTTCGAAAACACCTTCTGGCCTGTTCCTTGAGGTACTAGGTTCCTTTTCAGTTTTAGTATGAAAAATTTGTACTCCTTTTATTTACTTCTCATTTTTACTGACCTGATAATAGAGATGGACCATTTTGTATGGTGTGTGTTGCTATGAATATGGAGTAAGGTAATAATTGATCACTTACATTTGTGAGTTCTGAGCCTCTAATAATTGGTCATGTAAATTTGTGTGTGGGGTCCAAGCAATCCTCCTATACTTCATTCTGATTCTTTTGTTCATAGATCTTGGTTCGTACTTAATTTGCAGTATTTAGAGTGTGAAGCAGACCAGAAACCGTCACAACTCGTTGATTTCCTTACGAAGAACAAGTCCAATAAAATTATCGTGTAAGTCAGCCATTGTTGTAAAAATTGAGAAACAGTGGGTGCCTTGTTGTTGCGGGCCATTAAGTCATCTCAAGCTGAAAAATGACCTGCTTTCTTTCGCAGTTACTTTATGACTTGTGCGTGTGTTGACTACTGGGGAGCAGTTCTTCCTTGTCTTTCTGCTTTGAAAGGTCTTTCTTTGGTTCCTCTCCATGGGAAAATGAAACAGGTAAATGAATTCTATTTTACACATTTAGTTGATTGATTTTGATTCTTTAACTTTTCTTTTTTGTGTTCTATAGATTGTTAGAGAAAAAGCATTGGCTTCATTTACGTCACTTTCAAGTGGCGTTCTCCTATGTACTGATGTTGCAGCTCGTGGTCTGGATATTCCGGGTGTTGATTGCATAGTGCAGGTCTGTTGGTCTTGTACTTACCAAAATGTCATTGACTTTGTAATTTAAAGTTTCACTTGGTTAATCAGCATGATTGTTGTTTCATCAAAAACTAAAATCTTGTCATTTTGTTTACTACTGAGATTGTCTTCCACTTGCCAACTGTTAAGCATTGTGAATGGATTTTTGTGTTAAACCTAGACTAATACGCGGGAGATCTATTTTATAGAAGGATAATTATCTTATAGACGTTTAACTTGACGGTAATATGATTATTTTCCCTGTTATTTTGCCAGTATGATCCTCCCCAAGATCCAAATGTTTTCGTACACAGAGTTGGGCGCACAGCTAGGCTGGGCAGACAAGGAACTGCAATTGTGTTTTTGTTGCCTAAGGTTTTAATTGCTATTTTTTGTCTTCTCATCTGCAAAATTTTGAATTAACTTGTTCCTTAACATGACTATGCATCTGCTCCTTGTATTTATTCAGGAGGAATCTTATGTTGAATTCTTGCGTATAAGAAGGGTTCCCCTCCAGCAAAGGAAGTGCAATGATAATGTGCTTGATGTTGTTCCCCTGGTAAGCATGGTTAAGATGATATTCATGGCTGCAAGAATATTGCCGTACGTTCTTTTCGTCGGCTTGATGCATCTTCGCTTTTGTTCTTGTGTTGTTATCCTGATCTTTGTTGTTTGGTCAACTTTACCTGCACATATTTGTGACGTGTGGATGTGAGCATGGTGTAAGAGTTTCATGTAAATTGTGCTTCCTTTTTCCTTTTAATGGTTCTACTAGATGTGTAATATATTTATGTTTTCTCATTATATCTACTGCCAGTGTAAGAAACAAGTCACAGTTTCACCATTGGAGAGTTGACAAGTGGATAGACCCGGTTACATAACCATCTTTAAGCACACATGTCATCAATCTAATCGTGAATGTGTAAAATATTCTTTACACTGGCAGTGGACCTAATAATAATCCTATTTTCATCACTATAAGATTTCGTATCACTTCTTCCGAAGTTTTCTTGCAGTTGATCTTAGCATAGAATATAATTTGGTATCAGATGCGCTCTGCTGCAAAGAAGGATCGTGATGTTATGGAGAAAGGAGTTAGAGCGTTTGTCTCACATATTCGAGCTTATAAGGAGCACCACTGCTCTTATATTTTCAGGTCAGTAAGAATTTTCAGATGTCGGAAATAAGGACTTGGCCTAGTTGCGAACCATGATCCAGTAACTTGGATTCAACTTTTTTCTTCTCTCCCATCTTATTAAGAAAGAAAGATGAGAACCTCATTCGATTCCTATCTTCCCTCTCTCCATATGTATGGTTTATGCTTTTCTTAGGTGGAAAGAACTCGAGGTTGGGAAGTTGGCAATGGGATATGGCTTGCTGCAACTTCCTGGTATGCCCGAGGTGAAGAACCATTCACTTTCCACAGAGGGTTTCACTCCAGTTGAAGACATTAGCTTGGAGGAAATTAAGTACAAGTAAGAAAATTTTATTCCTAAGCATGCTCTTTTCATGTTTTGTTTAGTCTGTATTGATACTCGATGAGTCGTGGGAGTACTTTTAGATTACGCCCCTATGTTAAGAGCATGCATCTAAATCTTTGAGCTCTGATTCCTTAATAGACTGTGACCCACTTTCTTTTCATGTGAACAAATGATGTCTCTGTCCCAGCAAGTTTTCTGATCTTTCTGTCGAAGCTTTATATCTAAACATGTTTTAAAGGAAATCATCTCTACTGGAACCATTGTTGATCATATCGATCTGAATTTTTCAAATAAAAAGTGAAAATCAATTGTTCTTTTGTCCAAATAATTCCAGATGGGTTTGCTTTCAAAATATTTTGATAATTCACCTCATACCTTGTTTTTAATTAATGGGTAAAAGTAGGTCTTCCCTTGTTCCTGCATGCAATTGCAGTAATGTTTTCGGATTGATACTGTCCAGGGACAAATCTAGGGAGAGGCAGAGGCAGAAGAACTTGCAAGCTAAGAAAGAGGCACCACAGAAAGATCCAAAAACCCATAAACCAAACAAGAATGCAAATGCCGCATCCAATGTCATGAGGAAGAAAACGGCAAAACAGAGACGTGCAGCTCAGACAATTGAAGATGAAGATGAGTTGGCTCGAGAGTACCGCCTTCTGAAAAAGTTGAAGAAAGGAACAATCAATGAAGATGAATATGCCAAGTTAACAGGGACAGAAGATTTGCTTTGAATTGTTTGGCTGAGCCATCTTAATTTCATGAAGAGGTTGAGACTTGAGACAAGGTTCATGTTGAAACTTGGACAATGTAGGCATCTGCATGACAAGCAAATGATGGATGGAAGGTCAACTTGTTCCTAGAAAAGCTCAAAACTGACAACATGAAGCCCCAAATATCGAGTTCGGGATCTCTGGACGACCATCAACTTTGCCGGCAGCCATTGATGCAAATGCCTAGGGATTAAGAGTGGAAGGACCTCAGATATTTTGGGACTCCAAAAAGAAACCCTTGTTCAGACAAATCTGGTGGCTGAAGAGTATTGAATGACCGGAACCAGAAGGACCATGTTTTACTTTGGCAATTGTAGTCATAGATGTAAAGCCTCCAAGCAAAGCTGGGTAGTTGTTGGTACACAATCAGATTGATTTAGATGGATGATAGGTTTGCATTTCTAAGGTAAAAGGGTTGTGCCTAAAGAAAGGGTAATTGAACCTGTAATATTCCAACTGTTCATCATAGTATGAGAAATTAACCGAAGTATATTGTTCCTTTTCCTTTTATTCCAGTTGTTTTTGGGAGTTGGAAGGTGGTCTGGCTGCGGAAGGTGGTCAACCCATGACTCCGATTGGTACCCGATCGATGCGCAGAAGAGCAAGCAATTGAAATTTGTCGTTGTTGATAGTACATCTTGATTAATTTGCAATGATGTAATCACGCTACTGATGATTGGAAGAGAGAAAGTTCCTCCTCCCCAACCGAACGTCAAAGCACGGGGATGATCGTCAGATATTGCGATGTGCAATAAGGACATTTCCACCAACGTTAGTAGGTGCTACACTTAAAGCAGCCAAAGCAATATAGTTCATGGAAGCATTGAAAGCTTTGGCAAGTGACTCTTGACCTGGACGATGGTACCTTATGCGTTGCCACTGCCGCATCACATAATAATGATGAAAAGGGAGATTTTCAGAAGGTCAAATAAGGAAAGAAATTTTTTCGTTTTCCATATAATGTAGACACCATGCCAAATTGGGATATGCTTGTCATGCATCTTAATGAAAACAAATATGACTGTCTTAATCAATGCAGCAGTTTAAGCATTACTTGTTAAACACTAATCATAGCCCTGATAAATGGACCTTATTGAGATGTGCGAAAGTTGGTCCAGACATCATCCGGCTACTAAATAAAACACTAGTTGGAGTCATAATGACACAAAATGTGCCGAGTTACAACATTGAAGTGATGCCAAAGTGACTAAATTTGAGAATCATTCTTGGAAACCAAAGGAGAGCTTGTTTGGAAGTAAAAGACACATGAGATTTCCCACCATATCTCTCTATCTTGTCCCCACAGGGAAGCGGAAATGAAAGTTGATTAGATGAAAGCAACACGACTTTTTCTCTCTTCTCATGGAGCTTTGAGGTGAAAATTCCTCCTTTTCTCAAGAGGGTTATTTTGTTCTCAATTTTATCTCTCTTTTCAACTTCATTTGACTCTGAATCCTCACTGCTCCCACTAAAGGAGGTTCTATGCACTGAGCCCCATTAGGTGCATTCATGGTAGCAAATTTCTTGCGAGTGGTCATCATCTTTACCTTTGAAATGGAATGCCTTGCATCACATAAATCATCAGGAGCTCCTCACCCGTGAAGTTGCACAGGAACAACTCTCGAACCCTCGCCTGGACATCAAAGCCAGACACTTCTTTCGTTGACCCTCATGAATCATGGTGTCATCATTACTCATGGGACTTTCCCTCATTTTTACATATGCCCTTGTGACAACAAAATCATTAGCTATTTGACCTTAGATCATAAAGTGGGGTAGCATGAGGATTCTACTCAGAGATTATCTCCCTCTTAGCTTAATACGGGAATTGTCTGCGAAATAACATCGAAGCTAATAACTAGATATAGTTGTGTCAATTCATATTAACTTTTCTGTACATCGAATTGTATGACAACCATTGTTTTTCTCATGGATTTAATGGCGATGGACGGAGATATATATCTAGAAAAGTTTGTCATGTTTGACTTGAGGAGTCCTTCCGTATTTATTTAAAAACACAAAAAAAGAAAGAAGAAGAAGAGGTAATCAGGCATCTTTAAGTCAGTTGTCCCCTTTGCCGTTTCTTACCATCTATGACATAATGTTTGATTCGACACAATATTGTATTTGGAGGTGGATTCTTATATAATAAAACCAAGATAGAGTACACGATAACATAGGCTATCGGAAATTTTATTCGTCTTCTCGACGTCCTTCGCAATTCCATGAACACGCTGAGAGAATTCTCTTGCACTGGCATTCACGTGAACATACTAGAAAACTGTCTAGTTATATCTGCTGACTCATCAAGCTCTCTTGGTTGTCACATAACCATTTCTGTGTTTTTATTATAGATCTTGCGAAAAATGGGTGTAGAGGATGATGCTGAAGATCTTCATTCTCATTGTAAAGAAACCTTCATATGAAATTGGTGGAGGAGCTATACAGAAACTTTAAATAATTTAGACATGTGTAATTTGAATTATGGTGCTTCAATATATAGATAGATTTATAAATGAAAGTCGAAGCGTGGCATTCAAAATTGATTGCGTGATAATTGGAAATGGGGTTTGGTCTCAATCGACTAATTTTTTTTTTTAGAATTGAGCATCTTGAGAGACTTGGTAACGAAGGTTTGTCAATATTCACATCTCTTAGACAGAAACCAACTTTGCTGGGGCGAAAGTCCAGATGAAATTCCTCTTCTAAGTATCACAACTTGATAATCATTCTTCACTCAAAAGGTTATACTGCTGCAATGCAAAAAGCCCTAGATACATGTGTAGTTTGCAAAGCATTCGAGTGTGGCAAGAGAATTCATGTCTTCGAAGTTGTTCTGAATTTCAAATCCACCAACTGCCCACTATCTTTCACGTGTTCTCTCACTGATGATCTTAATTCTTAACCAGTGGCTTGCTTTTAATTATATAAATTAATAGCCTGACAAAACAAAAAGAACCTTGTTCATCAATTCCATCTCACATGCTAGCGTTGACCCATCAACTTACTCCTGTTCCAAACTCTAGCTCATCATTTTGTAGTACTAAGTGGTGTAGCTCTTCAGCATAACTAACATAAATTAATCAAAATCCAAAAAGTTAAACTGCACTGTACCCAAGTAAGAACATCAAGAGAGAGATTCTCCATTTGGCCTTTTTCTCTCATATAGAACATATATATACTTATATATGTTGCTAGGTATTAATTGATGTATGCATTGTAGCAATGTCAATTATGATTAAGCAAAAAGGGGGCCAAAAAGAAACGAGGAAACACAAGTTTTATTCATTAAGAAACCATGTCCTGTCCATAGAAGCTCTCTCTCTTGAGAGACTCATGAGTTACATTGCTGGAGTTGGACGCCAAGTTAAAGTACTGAGGGAGGTTATTGTGGAGGAGGAACGACTTGTCGCCAGAGCCGTCCATCGGTATGACCGGGGACGGCATGGCCAGGGGCTCTTGCTGGACTTGTATGCACAGGATCTCGGCCTGAGCCACGGCGAGCTGCATCTGTAGCTGAGCCACCTGGTTTTGGAGGTAGGAGATGGCGCCAACGCATCCATACACAGGGTCTCGGACTCTCGCATTGGCTTCGTACACAAGGCTGCTCACCGCGTCAGCTCTCTGATGCACTGGTAGCTCCTAAAAGGATTTCGGAAAAAGGATGTCTTATCAATAAATATATGAATGACGATTGATCTGGAAGTATATATTCATCAAGATTAAAGTTTGAAACCAAGTTCTTTCCCCATGGAAATTTTCAAATAGGAAAATATTCGTTCAATCACAAAAAAAAAAGGAAGGAAACTGGGTCAACCTAGACCTGGGGTGTTTCAACAAGTAGCTAGGGCAAGATTGATTTCATTATCGACATTTGAAGATGTTTAAGTATTGATTCTGAACCAAAAGCTGAAATATTCAGGCAAAGGAGTTGATATACGGTCTTGTGATTTCTTTTTGAGCGAGATAATGAATTTTGTGAACATGGGGTTGAACAAGATTGATCGATGCATGAGTGAGAATGTTATACAATAGCTAGTAATGCTATCACCATCTGCTCTGATATCATGTTCGAGCATTAATTCTAAATCTTGGACACATATATAATATTAAATATGGATGATTTAACGTGTTTTCAAGATCATTCTACCGATCAGCAACCTCAAAGAACGGTGCAAATGCTTATGAATTAAGAAGGGTTCTCCGGCTTCTTTGAGAGAGAGAGAGAGAGAGAGAGAGAGAGAGAGAGAGAGAGAGAGAGAGAAAACCTGCAACATTTTGCTGATGTTGCTCGCACCAAAGACCTTGTGGACAATGGCGAAACGGTGAGGATCATCAGGAGGAAAATAAGGAGCGAATATGCAGCCCTTAGCGCATCGACGTCTCAGCAACTTGCAAGATGCGCAAGGCGAGTTTCCTCCCATTTCTTCTTCTTCTCTGTGTTCTTCAGAAACAGATATGGCTTTTTGATCGAGGAGAAAAAGAGAGAGAGAGAAGTTGGACTTATTGAGAATGAGGGCTGGCAGTGGATATTTATAATCGCGAACGACGTGTGTGATCTTTTCCACTCAATCGAAAAAACCAACTTTTTTCGAGAAGAACGCTGTTTATGTCTATACTAAGCAAGTGACTAAGTGTGTGTGTGTGTGTCACTGTGTTGGTCTAATATTATTATTTTATGGCAAGGGTTTGATGTTGTGTCTAAGCTTGCCTAATAATCTATCAAGCAAGGTTCAAGTTCTGAAGCAGCACATTTAATGCCTAAGAATCTTTACGATCCACCCATTTTCAAATTGGTCCTATACTTCCTGTGGGTAAGAAGAGGAAGAAATCTTGATACATACATAGATGTCCTTTCTATCTTGTTCAGATTTGAGCTAGCGCTCTAAACCATTCTAATTGATGCAGTTGATTCATGATATTATTACTTGTCCAAAGTCATTGAGATCAATATGACATAGTAAAAATATGACTATTGCTGCAATTTTTCCAATAAAATTAGATAAGTTATTGATTACAGAAATTAACTTTTTTAATGTATCGATCCATCTTATAATTAGTAGCAAGCTCAAGCTCAAGCGATGAATTGAAAGTCGAAGCAAAGAAACCAATAAGACATAGTAGAAAGGGCACCATTGATCATTTGCTTGATTTCTTATCTTAGCTTCATGTGATTCTCTTGAAAATTTTACAAGATCGCTGTCAACAAAAATGACGGTTTAAAATATTCAAATATAGACATGACTTCTTATATTCAAATACTATAGCACTCTATCTCGCATGTCTGAAACTTGGCTTAAAATTAAAGTGCACATGTTGATAATGTCGGGATGGCAAATCATGGAGAAACTTGTATGTGCTTACAAGAAAAAAACATTCTTATTCACCTAAAAACAATCATCATATACCAAGTATTACATGAATTTCTTCTCATCCTTCCAAATTGATGGAACTAGACATGATTGATTTAAATAAATGGAGCGCACTCTCAATGTGCACCTGAAAACTTCTCTAAATAAGAGCTTGAGGAGCATAAAACACTATACCTCTTACTAATATATCGTGCAATTTTATTATATTACCATCAACTTGATGTAAGAAATTATATTATCTTATGAATGTGTGGTTCCGTAACATCTCTAACAATCTAATCCGGCCAAATAATAATCCGTACGCATATATATATATATATATATATATATGTGTGTGTGTGTGTGTGTGTGTGTGTGTGTGTGTGTGTGTGTGTGTGAGCAAGTTGCTGATAAAATGTAATTAACAAGTTGTTAGTCTGGGCATTGGCCCCCCTTTAAATCAGACTGCTTTGTGGGTGAAGAGAAATCCCCACCTAATTGGCGCCTTCATCTCTCTAACCCAAGTTGGGCAATTAGGGTTGTGTGGTGGCCGCGAAAGACACGTACATCTGGTCATAGTGAAGACGAAAGGCAACCCTGCACCGCCGCCAATGAGAGTGATTTGGTGGCCTTCTACTCAGATGAATGGTCTCCACGTTTCTTCTCTTCTCTTCTGATTACCTTCTAGTAGAGAGAGAGAAGAGAATATTGCCCTTTTTTCCCTCGAGACCGAGTATGGTTGAAAACTTTTGAAGGGTTGATAATCATCACGTCTTCAACTTGCTCAAGACCTTAATCTCCAAGAAAATCAAGATCATTTCTAGTAGAGAGAGAGAGAGAGAGAGAGAGAGAGAGGTTATTGCCCTTTTCTTTTCTCGTTTGAGAGACCGAGCATGGTTAAAAACTTTTGAAGGGTTGATAATCATCACGTCTTAAACTGCTCAAAACCCTAATCTTCAAGAAAATCAAGATCATTTCTAGTATAGAGAGAGAGAGAAGAAATTATTGCCCTTTTTTTTCTCGTTGGGGAGACCGGGTATGGTTAGAAACTCTTGATGGGTTGATAATCTCCACGCCTTAAACTGCTCAAAACCCTAATCTTCAAGAAAATCAAGATCATCAAATGGAGGAGGATCGACGTGAATGTTTGTTAGACAGACATTCACGGAGGTGGTCAATGCATCTCTCTCTCTCTCTCTCCATGGATATAGTTAATGCGTGATGGTTTGACTGCAATAATCATTGATTCGATCAACTTGATGGTCACGAAGGCAAAAGACAGGAGACTGATTTCATCTCGTGCTGCAACATCCATCGTCTTAAGTCCAAGATGAGAGCCCATAAGCATGTGTCACGTTATGTATATATATATATATATATATATATATATATATATATATATATATATATATATATATATATATACATAATGATCTCAAATCAGTTGCATTTGCCGCAATATTGCAACATTTAGCATGTAACTTCCACTTTGATGGATCTTATACATTTATTATTTAAGTAGTTCGTAATATTTCGTGACACAATCCTTTTTCTCATTGAGATATATATTGTGATATTAGGATATCATCAGTCGTGCAAATTTAATATTTTACATTGATAGCCGGTGTAGAAAATAAAAACCCTAGTCGTTTTTTGTTTTTGGCTTGGCAGTAGAAATCGGAGTTATTCCCACTATTTTATAGTCTTTATTAAACAATACCATGTCAATATCATAACATCAAGCCGTCGTGCATTCTCGGCAAATTGACCGATGCCGTCCACTATCATCTTTTCCCTTCAGCTGTACAATCAAGTGGAAAAAGAGGGTTTACTTGAGTTTTGCCGTCGACGCATGTTGCACATTATTATTTTATAAATGTCCAATCCAAGTAATTTTTATCTTCTTTTGGCTTTAAATTCGTACGTCCCTTCGTATGAATAATTAAAAGTATGAACAATGATCGTGCATCTAATTCAACCGAAATCCTATGACTGCATCACATCATGTTTCACATCCGCATTATTCAATTTCCTCTACATTACACCAGTGCGTTCACGTTCGCATCAATCACCGAATGGGAATTGCTACTTAACTAAGTTGATTTTCAGAAAATTTGTGGACACGCAAACACCTAGCTACAAGGGAACCTATCAGAGGCAATTAATGAGATCCTGACATCAGACTAAGCTTTAGGAATTCTTTAAAGGAAACCCCATTTCGACAGAGACCATTCAATGTATAAATATTAGATTTCTCTTGCCGTATTTGAAGAACCCTAACTGCTATCGCTTTTAATACTGTCTTTGCATTAATTGCCCGTCACATGATTCCAAGCTTTCTTTCTAGTCTTCCGAAATAAAACAAGCTCTCTTGCTCATCTCACTGTCTGTCTGGAATCATATGAATCGATTTTTCTTTTCCTTCCTGCAACAACTTCAAGCACCAACACATTTAATGCGGATTCCCCCCTCTATCGTGCCGTGGCCTTTTTGGAATTATTCTCTCGATAAAATACGATGTCTTGCTGGACCATTTTTCGAAGTAGCTGAACCCCAGATTTACACAGAACCCAATCACCAGCAAAATGCGTGCTTCTTCTTCGGAGGAGCGTTTGGTCGCATCCTTCGGTTTACCCTATTCTACCCTATCGTTTTCATGGGAAACTACCCTTCTTTGGAACCGTGTTCTAGTGTCGATTTGACATTACGAGGTTCATTTCGATCTTCCTATCTTATGATGTTTCTGTTCTAGGTTCTAAACATAAATTTTTCGATGGTGGACAATTCGTTTTCCAGTTTATAGCACTTATGAGTAATCGGATGAGAAGTTACTTATCGTGTAGAATTTTACGAGAACCGGGGTGTTGCCGACACCAGACGAGGGAACCTAAATAATTAAGCAAATCTCAAATAAGAAAATGTGTTGTTTTTTTTTAACTAAGGTTAATTGGAATCACGTCCCTAGCTAGCGAGGTTGTCTCGCTGACAAATAATAGGGAGCAGAGCCGTCATTAATGGCCTTTGTCATATATTGTTTCCAAACCCTAAGCTCTCGGAAGATGGAAGACGACCATGGTAACGTTAAGAACCTTTGTTTGGTTTCTGCGGTGGGTGAAAACAAAAGAGAAATTTGAAATGTGGCTTTGGTGATTAATATTTAATTAATAGAATTTGTCACTTCAAAACGCTATTTTTCTTGTAGGGTAAATGACATAAATAGTCCATGAACTTTAAATTTGTTTAATGTAATATTTGAATTTTAGCCCAATATACAATATGGTCTCTGAATTTTTGATTTGTTCAATATAGTTCTTGGACTTTTGTTACATGTTCAATTTAGTCTATGGACCATACAAAAATATTCAATATTGTCCCTGAACTTAAATAAAGGAAAGGACACCATCGAATATTTTCATATAGTTAAGGGACTAAATTGAATAAGTGCCAAAAATCAATGGACCACATTGAACAAAATAAAAGTTAAGGGACTACATTGCACATTGAGCTAAATTTTAAGGACCATATTGAATAAATTTAAAGTTCAAGGACCACATTGTACAATGAGCGAAAGTTCAGGAACCATTTGTGTCATTATCCCTTTTCTTGTATTATGTGTTATCAATTAATCGAAGATGACTAACGGTGCGTTTGTTTCATGAAAAGCTTAAATTTTGGAAAAATATTTTCCAAAAAATAATTACTTATATCACTTACAAAAATAAATAAATGAAAAATATTTTTATCACCCACGAAAGGAGTTAGGTATGAATTGCTGTCTATAATGAAAACATTTTTCGTTAACTAATTTTTCTAAGTTATATAATCAATCATTTTTTGAAAAATGTTTTTCAAATCTTGAGTTTTCCGTGAAACAAACGCATCATAAGTACGATTAATCGATATCTCAGGAGCATATGTTAACAAGACCCTCCAATATATAATTACATTAGATTATGAAGATAAAACAGACATCTTCCACCACCACCTTAGAAGGAGGGAAAAAAGGAAAAAAAACGAGACCTCCGATGCCTGCATTAAATGATCATCAGCTTCGTGCTCTATGAAAGATTCATTTTCGAGATGCATGGTCTGTTCTCTATCACGGTGCCGGT